GAAGCTGGCCAGGGAACTTGCCTCATCGAAACCACTTTTCTTGGCCAGTTTATTTTATTCTCAGCTTAACCACTCCCTGTTGTGATATACTATTCAACTGTACTAGTGCTAGAATGAGGGAGGTCAGTAGGAGTGAGTGGGAGTTGCCAGTCAACCTATTATACAAAAAGCTGAGTAAGTACCTGAGCTTGTCCTTTCCGCTTATCCTATTCTGAGCTGAAGCTGCTGTCCGTTCCTAATTTACAGCTGATTGTTTATTGTCCTACAAAACCTGAAGGGTAACAGTACTTTTTTTTTTTCCTCCCCTTCATCTGGAATGATCTGCATCTTTGACTTCTGTTTCAGTGTCTGGTAGATAAAATGTTAAGCTTTTGAATTAGTTGAGATGTGGGTATAGCTTTAGGGTTGGGGTTTTTTTGTTTTTTTCTTTCAGAAAGAAGTTGTAATCCACATCATCTTACTCTAGATGTGTTGCTTAGTAAGATACTGGTACGGTGTGCAGTTAGAGAATTCTGGAGGATAAAAGACATTTGTATAACATACCCTTTTCAAAGTTTACTGATAGTTATTTTGTGACATGCTTTGTATCAGAAAATAGTTACAAATTTTTCATAGGGAAGTGTGTTGAGAAAAGTATTCAGGAACAAAAAGTGAAACAAAGTTTTAGAGTTTGTGTTACGTCTAAGTTTCTGTACTGGTTTTGAATTTCCCCTTCTTCACAGGGAAACATTTTTTTTTCTGAAATTGTAGTCAAAAGACCCACAGAAGCAGAAAAAAATGACTCAGACTAGTAAAGAGTGGCTATGAAATCCAAGTTGAGCAATTTTGTATTTGTAGACTAGTGCTTGTATGCTTTATTAAACAGTTGGGAATGCTTTGATTAAACAGTTCTTTGTTTCAAAACAGAAATACCAGTCCAGTATCACTGTCATAATATCTTTCTTCTCCCATATAGTTTTGTCCTGTTGTTTTGTCATCCCATCATGCACAGCTTAGTAGATACTAGTGGGGAGAACATTAAGGTGGTAGAGCAAGTGAGCAGTGCAAAGTCATTGCGATATGATGGAAAGATTTCAAATGTTTCAGTTGGAAGAGGGGAAGAACTCAACTGCCGGAACTGACTTCTGGGTGAGAAAACTGATTCTGCAAAAGACTGGGTAATTCCTTCACTTGCATACAGTACTGTTTCTGGTGTTGAGCTACTCACAATGCTGAACTCAAAGCCTTGTGACTGGAAAAAACTTTCTTAAAAAAAAAAAAAAAGACGCCTAGGGCCTCACAAAATGTTAGAAATAATTAAATTTAACTTGTGAAGATGTCATCTCTCTTAGTAGTCTGCAGGAAGTAAGAAATGCTTCCTTTTCCTCCATCTCCAGACTCATCAAACTTAAGTTTAAAAATACCCAAAGCCACAAACCCACCATTAAACTCAGAGGTGCTTCAGCTGCAGTTCCATACTAAGCCTGTCTGTTGTGTTTGGTAGATTCTCGCCAGCTTCCTGAAGTGTAACTTAGGTTTGCAGGTGTCTCTGTGAGTCTGTCTAAACCAGAATAAGTAAAGGTTATGAATGAAAAGTAACAAATAGTGCAGATAAACGTCTGGTGGGGATTGTTCTCCCTCTCCTTCAGATGCATTTCGCTTCTGGGTCTCAGTTGAGGGAGGCCCTGTTGGATTCAGTGGGCTGAGTCCAAAGGTAGGGTAATATAAATTGCACTCATTTAAGAAAAAGCCAGTTGATGAGGCTCTGGATTTTAGTTATGGGCTGAGTGCTACAAGATGTTAAATGCAGTGGGGTCACAGCCCCTTAGGATTGTGTATAGTGTCCTTGCCATTAGGAATGCAGTAGTTGAACTTGTCTGTACTTGGTCAAAGGATTATGTGTTCTGTGGGCAAGGTTAAGAACATGCATTATTCAGTGGAAGGCATTACCACTTCAGAGAGGTGCTTCTAAGAACTTTATCATCACAGCTTGGTCTAAGGTAAGCACCACCAACAACAAAACAGCTTATAGAAATGTGTGCTCTGACAGATAGGCCAGTTTTGAGTCTGTAGGCAGTACTGTCTGAAATGAGAATGAGTTCTGCTATTGCTTTTGTGGAGTCTTTCAAGTAAAGGCATAAGTTCTTTGAAGGCACGTACATGTTTGTGACTATTATGTATCTTGTTACCATGGTAAAAGACTTTGTCCTGAGTTGGGAAACAGCGGGTTAAGTTCTGTCATTTTTTGGTTAGTCTTTACAGAAACAGTGAGCGACTGACTTCGTAAACATACCTGTGAAGAGATTGGGAAGGGCAGGGAAAGGTCGAACAATGTTTTTACTCATACAATATAGACTTGTGTACAATATAAAGGCAAGACAGTTTCTTCACACTTTATTTTGGTATGCATATGTGATAATGCAGTACAGGAGGAGAAAGATGAATGAAATAGAGGTGAATAATGCTTTTAGAAATTACTTTTAAAAAGTGTCACCTGCCAGGAAAAATACATAACCTTTTTTTAGTACCAGGCAAAGAGACAATAGAACAATTTTCTAGGAGTATTAATTTCAAAGAAAGTGGTCTGTAGAAGTGAACTAGTTGTTGAGACTAGGGCAGGTGGGAAATACTGTGTGCTTGGACTGTATCAAATGGATTTTTAAATAAGTAGTCTGTCCTTTCTCTTTCTTTCTCTCTTTAAAGTAATAAATTGTTATTCCTTAGGTAAAGGATGCTCTCTTATTCCTCAGGATGTATTGTTGGGTGATGTTAAGGTGCTAGGAAAACTGTTACGTAGTCCATGCTGTTTTCTCAGTGTAAAAGCAATACTTTAAGGCAGACTGACAGATCTATGACATCTATGTATTTAGCAAAGGCAACTTCATTCCCTTTTAGTCTCTACTTTATAGTGTACAGGAGTCCACTGTGAATTGCTTAAAATTTGAATGTTTTCTATGGTTTTTATGTTCATGGCCTGTATGTGTTGATTTTTCATAGGGGCTTCCTGTTTTGTGACTAACACAGTGAGTTAGCTTCAGCTAAAACATTTTGATGATAACAAACATTTAATGAAATTTTTATTATTTTAAATTTTTAAAAAGTGAGTTCTTTAACCATGTGAAAGCCTTTTTAACCCTTTAGGAACTAGACATGTTTGTGTGGCAGAAGGGTGTGTTCTTTTTCTTAGCCAGTCATGTACTCATTCACTTTGTGGAAGGACTCATTCCCTCTACTGTCTGGAGAGTGAAAAAATAGGTGGTGACAATTTTTTCTCTCCCTTCTGACTGCCATTGACAATCATGACAGATGGTGTTGGAGATACACAAGTAGAAGAGTTTTATGCACAGCATCTCTTTACAACATCCTTGAGCTTAGGCTGTCAAAATTTGTTCAATGTTCCTATACTGTCTTGCAGGCACCATGTCCTGATTTTGCTAGATACCGCTTCAGTGTTTTTACATAAGCAGCCACAAAGGCATGCGAGAGATCTTGTTCTGCATAGAGGTGTTCAAATCTAATAAGTTTGCCATCAAGTTTGTAGTGGTAGCCAACCTTATGTTTCAAACTGTGCAAGTATGCAGCCGTAGCAGATGTAGCTCCCTGCGCTATAAATAGGAGGTCAGGAACTGTAAACCATGAAATGTTTTTGAAGAGTGGAGCTACCAAGACTTCGTTTTGTTTAGAAGTCCTAGCTTTTCATTTTAGTTGACCTTTTAGGCCAACTGATGACATAAACGTATGTCATTATGGCTCTTTAGTTGACCTGTTATTTTTCCTGATGGTTTTTATTTGTCCTGTAGTTGGTAAAATACCTGTCTTTTCAGCTGTGCTCTGTAAGTTCGGTAGTATATTTTTTAGGTAGGACATTGTGCCATCTAGCCTGTTGGCCTTGCTCTGTCTGAAAGAGTTCATTTTCCATAGGAGTTTGTTCCCTGACCCCAAAGGAAATATTCTGCTGGATGGAAATACTCTGTCTTAATTATTGAAGATACTTAAAAGATTCTCCCACGTGTACCTTTTGCTTTGAAGTTCTAGGCTTGGGCGCAGCCTGGATCTGATGACCTTGCTTTTTTATTTGAAAGCAAACTTGAGTCCATTCCTTTAAAAAAGGGGCTTTCTTTGTAACCACAGTATTTGCAAGAAAGTGAAATCCAGAGACCAATTTCCAGTTCTTTTATTTGTTAGAGTTGCCTTAGTTTCTGCCCAAGGTTTTAATGAAATTTAGCCACCGTATGCCAGTGTAATACCAGCACATTACCTGTTAGTGTTCTTCCCTGAGCCTTCTACTTGAGATTTGGGGCATCTTTGCTTGTTATGTGAAAACAGTTCCATCATTTACCTTACAAAGAAGTAACTGCCCTACTACTTGCGTAGCCATAACAGAAGCTTTTGGAGAGAAAACATTTTTGGTATGGTGGTTTTCCAGTAACATGTCTGGAAGGTTCTTGAGAATTCTGTCCAGGTGATACAATTCTGGAGTCCTACTGTGGAACACTTGTGGGGAGCTACTATGCAAGGCTTCAAAGCAAACAAATAGAAAAATCCAACCAAGCAAACAAAATAACCCCACCCCAAACCTTATAGGGCTGATCAGTTGTGGCGCATGTGTTAATGTGAAAATTTATCTTGCTTTGGTACGTAATTTGACATTCTGTGCTTTATTTGGGAATGTTTGTATTATCAGGGTGCAGGTATCAGAATTCTATAGAAACGGCTACTAGAGGGTTGTTGTACTAAACACGTTACCACTTAGACACAGAAAGAAAAGTAATAAAATTGAAACCTTAACTGTCAAATAGGAAACTGTTTGGAATTGTTCATTCTTGAAAAACATCAGAGTAACTTTTCTTATTCACGGAGAAATCGGAATTCAAGGTCTTGCAATTTTATACAGGATGAAAGTTCAGGATTTTTGTAAGTTACATTGAAAGTTTGAAAATAGCTGTTGTGAAGGATGCTTATGTCAGTCTGAAAACTGTGGTACCTTACATATTGCTTAATAATATTTTACATGTATGTAGGTTCCTCTAAAGAGGGAGGAGCTGGAGCTGTGGATGAGGATGACTTTTTTAAGGCATTTACAGATGTTCCTACTGTACAGGTAAGATACTGTGTATACTCATGTTTGTTTTTAGAAATGTGCTGTTTGCAATGCTATATGTTAGCCTACTTTTAAACTTGTGCAATTTTGCAGTCTTCTAACCAAGTATCATTACTTTTCCTTCTTTTTCAGTATTTCATTTACAGTGTCTATAGAAAGCTCTTTACTTTTTCTAGTTGTTAGTTACCAAAAAACACCTTTTTTTACTGTCCTTCTAATTACAATCACTTTCTGTTTCAGCTGAAATCCATTATTGCTTTTCTTAATCTTTTTGAGGGAGCTACTGAAAATAATTCTGTGTTCTAATTTGGATAAGAAAAAAAATTCCAGAATGTTTGGAAGATTTAGGACAGCGATTTTATGGGATAATCAAGTAGTAATAATAATACAGGCAAATAACTTAAAAAGCAACTCTTGTATTTTCAGATGTGAGTGCCTGAATTGTAATGCTGTGTGTCTGGCGTACGTGTCCTCATCTAGCAATACATAAAAAAAATAAAATCTGGTGCCTTATTTGAATATTAATGAACCTGTTGCATGCTGAGTTCTTAGTTGAAAGATCAGATTTTAATTTCTATTCTTTAAGTGTGGGAATTGCACATACTTAGTACTTTCACACAGTTGAGTCATGTATCTTCCTAGACCTGTTTTGAATAAGTTTTTCTTGAGCAGCTGAGTGGGGAAGACAACCAAAAACTGCGAGCCACAGTTCCCAAATCCCAGAAGGATTTTGTGTGGCTTCGTTCTCTTGATACATATTTTTGCTCTATTTTTATTTACCAAGATGATAGTGTAGTTATTTGTTAGACCTTGTTCTGCAGGAAGAAAGAATGTTACAGAGTATGTGCTGCCTGTAGTTCGATGCCTCAATGTCTGCAGTCCCAAGCAGAGTTCTCTAGTCACTCGGGTTGGTTAATAACATTGCAAGAACACAAGTGGGATAACTGGATGTTGCTCACCAGCACATGTGATTTTCTGTCTGACTGCTGGGTGATCTCAGAAGGTAGGTCATTCTCAAACTGCAAGAGGTGCAGGAGAAAGACACACTTGTCTTTATTAATCTCGCTCGAGTTGCAGTGAGGGGGCAGGAGAGAAATGACCCCAGAATAAGCTATTTGTTTCATGGATGAGAATGTAAGAAAGACCAGGCAAAAAAAAAGAAAAAAAAAAAGGTTTTTTTTGTATGCTTAGGAATAATGACTTCATGCTACCCAACTTCATGCTTCTGGTTGTGGACAATCTCTGATCTTCCAAAAAAAAGGCAGATCCCACATTCTGAGACCATGTTAATTACTAAGGCGGAGAGAAGTTTCTGTACTAGACCCTGCGAAGAAAGAATATTTATGACCTGTGATTTGCCAGGTTATTCTAAAAGCAAAGAAAACTTGTTAGACAGAAGGGGGATAGGGAGTTGGTTGTACATTATTGGGGCCGTTGCGGTGTCTTTCTGTTTTCTTTACGTTTGTGGGTTTTAGTAGTGGCTTCAGTCAAAGTAAGGGAGGGGAACTATATTATGGAAGAACAGACCAAATCCTGAATCAAGATTAAGTGCATCTGGATTAATCAAGTATATTGAGATTCGGTGTGTGTATATTTAATTCGTACCTTCAGTGATGTGTGTGTGTGTTGCCCTCTAATGGATAACAACAGTTTATGAAGAACATGGGTGGTTTGGAGTTACGGTATGATGGATCTGTGTGCCAAAAAAAGTACTGTGGTGAGAGGATTGTGCCTTCATATTTAAGATTACAACCATAATGTTTTTACAACTCTGTTCATTTGCTTTTGCTTAAATTGAAGAAAATTCTATGTTCAGTTTACTAAGACTTAACTCCCATTAATAGCTAGAAATTGTTTCAAAACAAATCTAGTTGTTTTTATAAAAGTCTGATGTGGGAACTTATTGAACAGAGAAATGTATTATGTCATTAAAGGCAGAATTTCATCTTGGCCTTCTAAAAGCATAATTAATCAAGGGCAGGGAGAAAAGAAATTATTAAAATGTTACCTTTTATTCCTGTGAAGCTAATACAGGTATGGACAACCTTGGCAATTCAGGTTTTTCAGTGGAATTACGGTTTAAATTTAATTTCAAGATAAAATTATGCCATTTATTAAACTCCTCATTACAGTGCCAGTTTGAATAGCAGAAATTCAATAGACCCAATTCTGTTTGTGCCAGGTAATTAATGAAAAAATTAAATTATTTGCCTAGGCATGCAAGTAGGGCAGACAAACCCATTGTACATGTTGCTTCTATACTTGTCTATTGCCTGGCATGTTTTAATTCTGTGACAGTAACTACAGCACATGGTCTCTGATAGCACATAGGCTGACAACAAAAAATGTCCTATTTTGGGGGATCTACTCAATGAGACAGCTTACAGAAGGTATTTGTGCCTTGACGAGAGCCTCAGACTAAGTTTGAAGTGTGCACTGAGCAGATCTCTGTTAGCTGCCACGAAAAGGGCATGATCCTGCTTCCCTTGATGTTGTACTTCACTTCTTTGTGATAAATCAGCATAGGCTGCTGAGTCAGCAGATAAATTTTTCCTGTTCTTGTCGGGTGAGCTTCTTGTATGTCAAAACCCTGAACTGGCATTTTCCTTGAATGTGTATTCACTATTTCATGATATCCTTCAAAGATTTGCCTTAAAATGATAATTTATACCTCTTAACACAGTTCTCTGGAACTCTTGGAGCAAGATTTCAGGATTATAATTATTTTGTCAGTCTTTTCAAGCTGTTATCGTGATAACTGGGTTATTAACAATATAAATTTTCTGGTTTTTTAATAATTCAGATCTATTCTAGTCGAGAACTTGAAGAAACGTTGAACAAAATCAGGGAAATTCTCTCAGATGACAAACATGATTGGGATCAACGAACTAATGCGGTAAACTTTTTATCTGGTTTCAGGTTTGGGTTGGGTGTATTTCACAAAGCACGGGCTGCTAGATATTTTAAAATGTTTTTTTCTTAAAGTAATTACATTCCAGACAATCAAAGGAACTTTCATTTTAGTTTTTAAACATTGAATTTCTCTATACCAAGTAAGTTTGAGCAAGTATTTTTAAAAAGGCAGAAATAGATTTTTGCCAACATTTAAGTGGAAGATTTTCTAAAATCCATCATATATGTTTTGGTTGGCATTTATGCAAAATTACATATTCTGTACGTAAACTGCTAGCATTAGTACCTCTTATATGTGGCTGTGATAAGTTTCACTTGCAGGATTAAAATGTTTGTGTGTATGTAGTATTTATATTTTTATCAGGTTTATGACATCTTAGTGTTTGGAAATGGGTAGTGAACAGATTTATGTATTTGTAGATTGGCAGACTGGGATCTGGGCCACTTCAGCTCTAGAGTTTAAGTAATATAATTTCTTTTACAGTTTTTTAAATTATTGCCATTTATTTTAAAATTATACTTTAAAGACATGCCTATGGATATTTTTGCAATAAAATTTTTACTTTTATGTTTTTTATTTTGAAATGCATGTTGGTAGTGCCCTAGACTAAATGCCTTAAATTTTTTAGCTGAAGAAAGTTCGGTCATTACTTGTTGCTGGAGCTGCACAGTATGATGGATTTTTCCAGCATTTACGGTTGTTGGATGGAGCTTTCAAGCTGTCGGCCAAGGATCTCAGATCGCAGGTGGTTAGAGAAGCATGCATTACCGTAGCGTAAGTATAGTTTATGTGTGTTTGTATACATTGCTAGATTTTAGTATGAATTTGGCTTAACGATGCTGTTGCAGGAAAGATTGTCTTGTTGGACTGCTGTACACTATGACTGATAAAGAGTCAAGTCAGCATCTGAAGCTGTAGAGAAAAATAAACACTTAAAGGAATTTGTTCTTTTAGGCGATTCATGTAGTTGATAATTCTGTGTGTGAAGAACAAGTTACTATCATTACACTGAGTGCTTATTGCAAGTTCATACAAACTGCTGTAAGTACTGTTGTAATATTGGGGGCTAGCCTTAGGAGCACTTATGCTTGGGTGATTGGCACAGAACTTCACTTTGACTCCTCATAATAACAAAGCGAGCTGCCCTATAGTGTTTTGAGCCCTTCTGCTTGGCTGTTGAATTGTCTGAAGTGCAATTTAAAAAGATAAAACACAAGTGAAACTTTAATTTCCATTATAATTTTAGAAGTTGTGGCTAAACAGAAATAAGATTTCCATCCTCATTATTTTGAGAATCTCATTAAATTCAAGAGGGAGGGGAAAAAAGCCTTATTTTTACACAGAGCAGTCTTTCCTACTTCTTTGTGTTCCATAGCTTTTTTTTTTCCTCTCTGGAAAAGCATTAATGTAACCACTGCTTTTCAGTGGTCATCTGGAACAGGTATGCCCCAGAGTTCGCACTTGGCATTGTGGTCTCCTGATTGAACAGACCGTGGGGACCTGTTGGAGCATACAGCTGTCCTTGCCAGGGAAATTCAGGCTTTGAGAAAATAATGCTAACCTATGCTAACATGAAGTCAGGAGTAGTGCAAAAGTACTGTGTAAATGTCCTCAATCCGGCAGTCAAAAGGAAAAAATTCATGAACAATAAACCAGAATTCTTAGGGAAATTTTACACTTTCGAAGTGTGTTAAAAAGCAGAGCTACTATGATATTTTATGTAGGTGTGAGAATTTTAGACTTTCAAATTGTGGTACTTGTTTTTCGTTATGAAATAAAGTTATTAGTGTTCAGCCTCTTAATGTGTCTGCTAAGTAACAAAAATGTTCCACAAATCCCACATTGCTAATGAGGCAAGGACTTGGAAATAATAAAATCAAGAATTTCTGTTGTTTGGAAAGATAAGTCTTTAAAATGTACAATGAACTTTGTTATTTTAAGACTAAGAAATTAATTTTTGTTAACAAGTTTTGTGTATTTTTCCTACATAGCCATCTTTCAACTGTTTTGGGAAACAAGTTTGATCATGGCGCTGAAGCTATTGTGCCTACTCTTTTTAATCTGGTTCCCAACAGCGCCAAAGTGATGGCGACTTCTGGGTGCGCAGCCATTAGATTCATTATTCGGGTAGGTATTCCTCTCTCACTTCGCTTGCTAGGAATATTCAGGTAATAGCTCTTAGCAGAGATAGTAACAATTCTGAAATACAGGATTATAAATAATTTTTTAATGGAGTAGTAGTTTGTCTCACAGATGGACAGAGGTTTTTTATCACTGAAAGTGATTGGCAGCATTACTGTTATGAGGATAGAGGAATAGATATGAAAAGGAAGTCTGTTTTCATTATCTTCTTTGATAATGTGTTAATTGTAAAAAGGCAAGTGTATTACAAAGTTTAACTGTGTTTAATTGCCTTTTGGAGAACACAAAGTTAAGGTAGTAGTTAAGAAGCTAGTAAGCATTGTTTAAAAAAATACCCAACAAACCAAGACTATTGTGTTTCACCAAAAAAAAAAAAAAAAATTTAAGAAGATTGGAACTGTGGAGTTAATGATAAAATGTTGAAGAGGCCGGACACGTGTGGACCAGTTCAGAAAATCGCAAGTTCAGACTATGCAAAACACAATCAGAACCCCTAAAACCCTGTTTAAAAGTGTGTCAGTACAACCAAACGCAACTGTAAGGCTCTTCCAGATCTTTTTGTTAGTTCCCTCCTAATTCTGAAGTTGGCAGTACTCTGAGAGCCGATAATTATCTCTCTGCTTTTTTTGTGATTTGTGTGTTTATATCCTGCAACAATAACCTAAGGAGAAAGTATGATATGGGAAATAGTAAGAACGGTTCAGTACTGTACTTTTTAATCAGTTTTGCTACATGCTACAGTTTCCCACTGTATAGGGGACTGGTTTAGAAGTTATGGGTTTAATCAAGAAAGGAATAAAGAAATGAACTGGAAATGGATTTGTTGAACCATGTTACTCTTGGAATTAAAATGATAATACCTTGTGTCTATAATTAGTTAAGATAAGCTGAAGTAAGGCTGCTTTAATTCTGAATTAAAGTATTGCATTTGGATTTAATGTAGCTTATATCCACTTTAAATGGTAGTTCAAGGGTTTTCTTTTCCTGTGAGGATGTTAGGTGTTTCCATATAGATTATATACATAAGCTTGCTTATGTTACATGTCGTGCTTTTATTATTTTGTTGATATATTTTGCATTAAAAAGATTTTGGTCTTTGTAGCACTAATTGAGCCTTAAAAGAATGCCCATAGTTTCAGATTGATTGATTTGCTTTTTGCTCCATAACTCTGATTTTTAAGACTGCAATGTCTATTGATTTTTTTTCTGTGGCAAAACTAAAATATCAGCTTACAACTCCTTTGAGGAGACACACACATTTGAGCCTTCATACATGACTTCTGACAGCTAAATATTGCATATCGTGATGTGATTGTTAATGGAAGTGCCTCTTGCTTGACATTTTGGAAGAAAATAGGTTTAATCAATTCAAGTGCTAGCATCAGTCTCTTATTTAACAGTATTCTACATTTATTTCAGTAAGCATTTCAAATTATTGCAATGTTTATTATGTTGCTAATTCTTTTTGACTTAATTAGTACAGTACAAATTCAGGAATGCTTTTGTCATTAACTGCTTTGTCTTTTTTTTTTTTTCTTCAGCATACCCATGTGCCACGACTGATACCTTTAATAACAAGCAACTGTACCTCAAAATCAGTCGCAGTTAGAAGGTGAGTACATTATAAATAGCAAATTGTTAAAGCTGGTGCTTTTTTACATATGATGATCATATGTTGAAAATAAAAAGATTTGAAGATGTGTGACCATTGACTCTGAATACAGAGAACTGTATTATCCAGTAAACTACAAAAATGAATTTCAGCCAAGTTACATCATACGTGGAGCTAGACTGCCTGATGCTGTGCCCAAAATAATAAATCTGCCATGCTGGGGACTGTGGGATTGAACCAGTGGCTGCCACCTTCGATAGGATGTGGTGGATCAATGTGTTGTCATGTTTAACAGCTGAGGTGCATCTTCAGCATGTTGCTTTTTCAGAGAACGTGATATTTGAATGCTTGGATTGGTCCTTGGTAAAATTAATTGATTTCTGACAGAGTGTCATTCCACAAGCACGTTAGACAAATGAGTATTAATTATAGCTTTTTGTTCTCTCTTTTTAGGCGCTCCTTTGAATTTTTAGACCTGTTGTTACAAGAGTGGCAAACACATTCATTGGAAAGGTATGGGCCAGTATACTTTTTCCCCCAGGAATAAACTGCTGATGGATTTTAAGACAGAAATCTTTTTGTTGAATCCTTTAATTGGATTATGTTGTTCAGTGTTGGCCAACCTTTCTAGCATAGACAACCTTTCTAGCATAGCGGGTCATGTGGCTTATTGAAGTGCCAGGGAGAAGGAGAGCTGCATGCTCCAGCCTTGACATCTTGTTGCCTCCTCTTCTTACCCTCCACCTCTTCTCCTATACCGCGTGTGAGCAATGCGTACCATGCTTTCTCAGAGTTTTGCTTGTATCATGTATTCTGCGCAGCAGAGATGCACATGTAAGCATCTGTCTCTTCTCCTGAAGGAGGAAATTTGTGTGTTCACCATAAAAGAGAAAAGTGGGATTAAACTGGAGGACGTTTTCTGGTAATGATTGAGAGCACACTGTAGCTTCTGTGGGTAGACAGGAAAACAGCACGTGTGTCTGCTCTGCAGAATGTGTACTGTAAGCACAGAGTAACAGCAAAGGCCTCCAGGGAAGGCTTTGAAGAGCTCATACAGCTCCTTAGTCGCTTTTCAGCCCCTCAAGGTGCTCCCAAGAAAGGGAGCAATGGGGAAATCACTTTATGTCAGTATGTACGTCTGTATTTAAAAAAGAAAAACCAAACCAAAACACCCTACTCTTCTAAAAAAACATGAAAACAAAACCCACCCAAACCTATTTTGGATTAAAATCTCTTTATCATCACACTTCTTAGTTGTGCTGATGGGGGCTTTGCTTTTCTTTATGTGTTGAAGTTTAGAATTCATACAAGAACAGCATTCAGAGGTGAATTTCCAGGACAGCAAACTTACTAATCTTAACTTTTCCTTTTCCTTGCTATTAATATAGTAGAGGAAATAGTTTTTCCATTTTGGTAAAGTAGATGTCTTTAGAAAGGTATTTCTAAGTAACTTTTTATTTGTGATAGGTGGATGTAGGTCTGAAAAGTAGATTGTAGTTCTTTTAGACTGAAGGAAGAAGTTCACCTAAACCTTTACAGATGGTGCAGTTATGTAATTGGTGTGCTTAAGTGTTTGTTTACTTCGTATCTTAGAAAGAATTGCTATCTCAGCTGGTTTTTACTTAGAGAAATATTAATTAAAGGGTAAAACTTTACTACTTAAAATAGAAGTTGGAATAGCAAAACATCATGAAGAGTGTCTTTCTTCTAGGCATGCAGCTGTCTTGGTTGAAACGATCAAGAAGGGCATTCATGATGCTGATGCAGAAGCAAGAGTGGAGGCAAGAAAGTGAGTTTTACCTACTTTTTGCAATGAAAAATTGTATGTTTCACATGAGCGATAGAAGCCTCTGATCAGAGGTGAGTGGTTAACTAATGCTGAAGAATAGGACACAAATTAGGTTGAAAATTGATGTTTCTGTTCTTGAAATCCTGAATTAATATCTAGTTTCTTTTGCAAATGACATTGTGAAAGTTGAGGCAATTAATACTGTCGTGCAGCATTTGAGGATTCTACTGAAACAGGAGTAAAGGTTGATATTGCTGCAGAATCATTCTTCTTGTTTTTTTGCCATTAATCATTAAAGAACTGCAGCACTTTGACTAGTGAGTAGGACAGAAAAGAATTTTTCGTTTCCCCACAGAATCCGTCATGTGAATGTGAGAATTTCAGAGGACAGACTAAATCGTTTTGAAAAGATTGGTTCAGTCAATGTAGCTGATTTCTTCTATGATTTGATGAACAGTATTGTATGCATTCCATACTTTCAGTCTGAGTTCCATACCCTCCCATCCCTGGTTCATTCTGTAATCTTTTGCTTCCTCACTCCACATTTTGAAGAAAATATAGAGCAATTCCATGTGGTTACTCTCTTATTTTGCAGGGCTTATCTGGGTCTTAGAAATCACTTTCCTAGTGAAGCTGAGACTCTGTACAATTCTCTTGAGCCGCCCTATCAAAGAAGCCTCCAGACCTACTTGAAGAATTCTGGCAGTATAGCATCTCTCCCTCAGTCAGACAGGTCATCCTCCAGCTCACAGGAGAGCCTCAAGTAAGGGTCACTTAACTGTTTCTGAGCCTATAAACAAATAAAAACTTTCTCAAAAGCAAATGAGGTGGACTTTTGTAGTGTACAGAAAAACTGCAATTGTATTTTGTCACTTCTAATTATTTTTGATGAAAAAACCTTCTGTTGTGTTTTGCTACATGACAGTATTATCCCAGCAAGATGAAGAGTGAGGGCAGTCATTAACTGGATTTTATCAGGCTGTTCTTGTTCATGTATTTATTCCTTAGCAGCCTCTATTACACCAAAATATCTTCAAGGTTCACATAAGGATGTCCAGCATTCTGATGCAATGCATAAGTCTAGGAAAGAAGTAATGGTGTTACTCCTTTTTTATCCCTTTTCTCTGTGAAGTATAAGAAAGAGACATTGACAGTGAGATTCATTCAGATTGAAGATAGTTTGGGGTTTTTTTTCTGTCTTCATAGTATTGAATACGTATTAGCAGTATTTTGCAGCTATGCCAATTATTAGAGGGTGGGTCTGTGCTGCAGTCAGTGGTGTGTTAAAATGTATAGACAATCTTGAGCTGAATAGATTACAGTTTGCTTAGGTACAAATAGCAAAAGAAATCTACTGGGCTTTTAGTGGAAATGTAAACTAGTAGTAGTATGCTTCTGTGACCAGGTCTGGAATGCCCGAATTTTGTGTTAGCAAAGTATGCCTTATTGGTAACCTAAGGATTCATGCTTTGTGCTGAAGATGTAATTTTATGAAACACAAAAGATAAGATGATTGTGTTTTCCTTGTCATTCTTTATTTAATGTGTTTATCTAAAATATGCTGAGAAAATTGAAGGGGAGAAAAGAACAGAAGATGTTTTTCTCTCTGTTGTTGTTGCCTTTTGGATCTGATACATGAGACTTACTTACTGGGTTTGTGGACTTTTTCAGTCGGCCTCTATCTTCTAAATGGTCTGCAGCCAGCCCAGCAAGCCTTGCAGGCAGAGGTAAAGTGGTTACTATATGGTGCAGTGCACACTAATTGTTGCTTATGTTCTTTGAATTAAAAGTTTTAAATACGGCTTAAAATCTTACTGTCTTAAGCATTTACCCTGTTTCCAGGTTGAATAACAGCATGTGTGATGATAAACTGCACCTGGAGCTAAGATTGCCTCGTACTTGCTTTACATTTTGTGTATTTTCAGTTGCTGCAAGTGTAAGACATAATTTGTGATATATTGGTGCTATTAATTGATTGTCTGTCTTGGAGTTTTGTTATGGAACAGTCACTCTCAAAGAAGCAAAACATTATTCTGTGCTCTGTTCATGATTGTCAGGCATATGGCAATAGGAGATGAAGGACTTATACCTTTCATCTATTCCCACCTAGCTGCTGCTCTTTGTAACAAACAAAACCACAGATTTGTAATTCAAAGAGTTTAATTTTGTCTTGAGTTTTCTGAATTTAGTATCTTCGTTCTCTCTTCATGTGATGTAACTCTTGTCGAGTAAATCATTGAACTCCTTTTTACAAATGGCCAGTAGTTGAGAGTGCCTGTTTTCTGGATACTGAAACTGATAAGGAGAGGAGTCAAGTTTTGAAGACATAAATCAGTGGTTAAAATTAACTGAAGCAAATAGTTAATATTCAGTAAATAATAGGTGAATATAAAAATACTTCATAGAAGATCAGACCCTAAAGCAATTCAAGGTGTGCATATAGCTTGCCTGTGTCTTTATCTCAGCTGAAGCGTGGGAATATTGTCTTCCCTCAGTATCACAAGGGATGCTGTCAATTTCCTTATGTTTTTGAAGCATTCAATAATGTAATAAATCACATAAATGTTCAGAATTATGTAATTTGTACTAGGGTAGGGGCACATAGTTTGTATTAAGTAATGATAAAATTTCGTTATGAGTGAAGATAAACACTACTGTAAAATAAACTATTCTTCTGAATTTCATGGCAGTACCAGTTCTAGTTTGCTTCTTCACATCAGTAATACTTTGTTTAATATTAACTTGACTTACACTATTTTACGTAGTTTTCTGTAATTTTTGCAGGTATGCTGCAGTAATAGAAAATGTTAACCTTTCAAATGTAATTAATTTTATTCATTACCAACTAATTTCCTGATTTTTCTTTTTTTGGCCAGTTTCAGGCACCAGCAAGGGTGTTCCAAGCCCAGGAACTCTGCAAAGGTCTCGCAGTGACATTGACGTTAATGCTGCTGCCGGTGCAAAAGCCCGCCATGCTGCTGGACAGACAGCTGGAGCTGGGTGCTTGTCAGCAGCCGGTCTACCTCCGGGATCTTATGCTTCACTAGGTAAGAGAAACATCTTTACAATACTGGGAAATATTTTTTGAGGCTTTTGATCAAAAAGTTATGAGAAGATACTTGCACATTTGAAAAATTGTCATCATTTTTAGTAGCATCGGAGTGTTGCAAAAGAGCAGGTGTTCTGAAGTTAGTTACGAATTTTGCTAGATGCTTTATTTTTCCTGTGCTGGAAGAATGTGGATGCAAATAATGTATCCATACTATGCTCTTTAAAAGTGTTAATCTGGAATTAATATTACATATTGGAAGGAGCGGTAGCTTTACTTAACAGCAGATGGTGATCATGGCTTTTTTGTTTCTAGAAGTAATAGGGAAGTGAGTGTTAGGACTCTTGATTTTCCTTTTTTTCTCAGCTCTTTGGCTGTTTTACAACAATGCTAAAGAAACAACCTGGCAGTAAGTAGTGGCTTCTTCATGTAATATAGAAATGTTTTACATAGTAATATACAGCATGGATTTTATAGATTTCTTCCTGAGCATGTTGATGGAACTATGTGTATGTTTTTGTATAGGTTACAATCTTCATTGATTGGAATACATGCTGTTAGACATAGAAAGTGCTACAAATAAAAAGTATTTAATAGTGGTGATGGTAGATGCTGGAGCCTTCACTAAGTGGGAAGTGTAAGGCAATATGGACATGTTTTTGTTCCTTTTAGGTTATCCATATTGCTCGTGCAGCAATGGGGGGAGTGAGGTTCAGTGTTCACAAAACTCTTAGGTTTTTTTCTTCTTGGCTTATGTGCCAACTAGATCACCAAGGAGGCTTGTCCTCATGTCAGTATTGCTGAAGAGAATCACGAGAGGCGGAGAAACTATATAGTTCTTTTGGTTTGCCTTGTGTTTGGGGAGATGTTAGGAAACACGTGGTCTATGGTTTTCAAAGCTTTAAAAAAGCACAAGCAAAAATTTTTAACTTAAATGAATTGATTCTTTTGTCATCAAGGCCTGTTCAAAATGGTTTGAACACCACTGAGTTTAGAATTAAGTTTGTGAGCATGAGCAATGCTGACTAAAGGAATACGTGCTACTTGATATAGGAATTTCAGGGGTGGGCTCCCTCTAGGTCCAGGAGAACCTGCTGGGGAGCAGGTGGACACCAGTTAGGCTGCTCAGTTTGCTTGGTGGAGGAGATATGCTTATGGTTATTGCTTGAGGAATTCTCAGTTCCACCTAACGTAATGCTTAAAAGCCTGAAACAGGTGGAAAGGTTGTTCTTTAAGACCAGGGTATTGCCTGGTCTGTTTTGTTGTGCAACAGCACAACAGATATATTCTGAATCTCAGACCAAGCTGGAGTTCAGCTGTTGTGAAAAGTAGAAGTGACACAGAGCATAGTGGTAGAAGGAAAAAAAAGTCAATGAAAAACAAAGAGAGAAATCTCTTTCTGTTAATCTGTCATCTTCATGCTGCTGAAATGGAGAGGGACTACTTTGGTCTTTGTTAAAGAGTTTCACAGAAAATTAGCTCTTGATTGGAGTACTGGTTTCCTTGCAGAACATTTTAAGCAATGTGTGATTCATACCCAGAATTTTGTAAGCAGGGCTTGAGAAGGGCACAGAGATTTTCAGGGAACTAAATAGGGGTGGTTTTATGCAAGAAAATAAAGAAATGGCTTATTCTCTTTGTAGTTTATAGACTTGGTGAGTGGGGGTGGGGGAGAGGAATAAACAGGCAGTAAGGCCAGATCATGTTCTTCTGAGGAATTTGAGTAGCTGAAAAGCTCTGCCTTGCTAGCAGATGCAATCACTTGTGGAGAAGAATACAGTGGTGGTTTGAAATAATGCAATTCACTTGAAGGGGGTTCACTTTAAGGGGTTTGTTTTTAGTAGATCCAAATATGGCAACTTAACAATTGTCAAGAAGATGCTGACCATGGTACTAAAATGCCTAGAAAATTGTAATTCCATAACGCTTTACACATCTTCTCAGGTGTTGTAGTCAATACCAAAATAAATAACATTGTTTCCTGGAGCTTGAATTTATTTTCACCCTTACTTACAGAGAAACATCCACTTTTTGCTTAAACAGCTACCAAATTTAGAGCCTCAGAGGGCCACAAGTTCATGAGCATAATAATCTAGAATTGTCTCTAGCTATGTCTTCGCTTTTTAGTATTCATAGAACTCTTGCTTATTTATTACTTTTTGTAAAGACTATTCTAGAAGCAGGAGGACATTCTCTACTTTAGTTATTCTAAATTTTGACTGTCTTTGACATCCTTAAGTATTAATGTCCCTTTTGAGGAGACTTGAGCTGTAATTGTATATGTCTCTTGCAAAATATTTTAATTGCTACTGACAGAATATGTATGCACTATGTTCCAGTTGAACTGGTAAATCTTTAATGCTGTAACCAGAGTGGAACTTTCTCTCATTTGTCCTGTGTCTTTATTGTGATGTCTTTTTCCCTCCTGTCTCTTACCCCAGATGGGGCTTCACGCTCAGTAGCAAGTTTTGTAAGAAATAGAAATATTCTGGTTCAGTAATGATGTAAATATGTACTGGTGCTTCTGTAACTGTTGACACGAAGCATGAAACAGTTTATAAATATATTACTGTAAGGGTTTGCTCAGATCTGGGTGATGCAGAGAGATTCAGCATCCCTGTGCAGGGTACTTGTACCCTGTTGTATAATTTTGTACCTTGTAGTGAGAGAAACCAGCTTTACTTAAAGTAGCTTATACATGCATGAATTAGATAAACATGTCTGCTGTATTTAATATTAATGCGTTTTCCTTAATTAATGTTTTATGACTCTGCTGTGAACACCCTTATTCTAACACACTAAGTTTTCCATGTTTCTTTGCCTGCTTTTTCAACAAAGAGGATACTTCTGAGAAGATGGATGGTAAGAAATTGTTTAGTCTGTCCTCTAATTCTATTAAATACTTAATAAAGTATCTTTTATTTAAAATTATTGTTGTTTAATGTATTTCTGGTCATTAACAAAATACGGTACTGTTTTCATTAACCCCTGTGTATCTTGGTGTCTTAATATATGTGTTGTGTTATTGCTGCATTTATCACTGTTTTTGATGATCGGTCTGTATCAGCAACAGAAACTTTATCAGAAATTGGACACTTCTTGTGTATTTTTAAAAAAGTTTGATTAATCACAGAGCAATTCTGTAATCAATACATGCTTTTTTTTTAACTAGTTCTAGTTCCATCATGTTTCATGATTTTACCTATAAAGTCAAATTTTTTTTTACTACTTTGCAGAACAGCAATGGGAGAGCAGAAAATGCTTGACTACATTATTAAGGATTTTTAAAAAAAAATATTCTCTTTCAAAAGTACCTTATCAAAATCTAGTCGAGCTACTTAATTTTAAGTGCCTGTACATCCTGTGATACAATATAATTCTGTTCAAGAATAATTTGTTAAGAAGACCTACCTGTCAAAATAGTTTGCCAAGTATTCCAGCTAAGTTTTAGTGCTTACTTTTTTTCTTAATTCTCTGTATTAAACACACGGAGGGAATTGTCATATTTTTATCCTAACTGCAAACCCATTGAGAATCAGGCTTCTCATAGCAGTTTCAGGTGTGTGTAAATAGTGTATCCCGTATAATAAAGTGACAGAGTCCCAACTTGATACCTGGCAATTCTAGTTCTAATTTATTGCTGGGGAACACTTCACAAGTCAGATATGTTTGCTACTTACTTAATGGTTCTTGTCACATGTTTTTGAACAGCACATGTTTAAAAGAATGAGTTTACTGAAAGCAAAGCAAGTGATCTTTTGCCTAGAAATACAAACAGTAAGAAGATAGATCTCTAAAATCCAGAATTCTGAAGCATTTTAAAGCACAGATAATCAGTTTCATGAGAGATAGTTTTTGGAAGAATTTGAGCCATTCTTCGAGTATTGCAGATGGCAAGCCTATTTAATAAAATGGAGGGGGTTTGTATGGGATCTGTCTCGCTTATTTTCATATGAGATTTCCTTATCTTGCATATAACAGGATTTATGTATAGCTGTCTGTGCTGAACACTAAATCTTGAGCTTTTGCACATTGTCACCAGCAATGAAGACTTAGGGTCATGTGTACAGGCTTTTTCTTTTGTTCAGATCACAAGTGACTTATGGTGTCCCACTCATCTGTTTAAAAATAATGGGGGAAGTGCAGCGCAGTTGATCAGAATAACAGGGGGTTTTTTCCCAGAGGATATCTGTAGGGATGATGTGTGCAACAGAATGAACACAGTTTAGCTCTCCAGCTGTAGTTGTATGATAAAGCTGCTCTGATCTAACCATCACCAGGAGGATCTAATCGTTTTTCCTTTTCCCACTAATCTTGGCCACATGTTTTTACCACTTCTTTCACTAGTGCCTTGTAATACCCCATTGTCAGTCACTGCAGGTGAACAAACTCAAGAAAACTGATTTCATAAAACAAAAGCGAATAGCATTCTGTTCTTTAGCTTTTGGAGCTAGCAGTGAACTTTTAGCCATCCAAACCAGGTGGTGGCAGAAGGGTGGAGAGGAAGGAGAAGCAGAACCACCCCTTTTAGGAGCAGCTAGCTGGTAGCCTGCCTTAGGTGTTGCATAGAACCTGCCTTCCAAGATCCAGCTCTGGAAGAATGTTGTCTTTGGGAGGGTAGTTTAAGATTTGGGGTTTTTTTTGTACAGACTGGCTAATTTGATCTGGAAAAATTGGAGGCAATCCTACATACATATTACTGGAACTGATTTTTGTGAAGAAGCATTGACATTTACACTGAATTAATTTTTTAAAGGGATTTCTTAAACATATCACCTTGAATATAGCATAATATGAGAAAGCCATAGCAGACTGGCTGAGAAAGTTAAGTTCAGGCTAGCCAGAGACACTAACAGACATTTTGATTGTTGTAGTTCTTTTGCAAGGCAGAAACGACATAGAGTGAAAATAAAAATGGAAATACCCGTTGATCGTTTTGAGGCATTTAACGTTTTTATCACTATTAATACGTATTTTGTTCCATAATCAGATAAGAGAGAGGAAAGACTGCTGTTTAGGTAGCTTCGCATCAATTCCTAGGTATTCATGGCAGTAAAAAAAATTTGTCTGACTCTAATTTTGTCATAATCAAGCCTTGTTAAACATGGCATACTTGTTCAAGTGTGATCTGATTTCAGCAAGCTCATATTACTTCCACTTCTCTGGGCAAAACTTGATCCTTGTACCTGTAGATCTTCAGAGTAATCATGGACTTAACTCAGATAAACCCTCCTTGCTGGCAGTTCCTATCAAATTATCACTGCCCAGTGTGGGAAACACTGTCCTTCTGTTTTCCTCTGAGATAATTTATAATAGTATGTTTTATATTTTCAGAAGAGCTTGCACTAAAATATCTTTTGTGTCTGTTTTCATCTGTATATGTCATTTTGTTGACTTATCTCATAGATTTCTTTTTTCTTTTTTTTTGTGGTTTTTATAACAAGTTTGGAAGGCAGTTCTTGTAAATCGCTGACAGTATTGTATGGATGTTTGATGGTAATTTTGCTGCAGTTCAATAATGGAGTTGCAACACAAAAGCTTTAGAACTCTTGACTTGATAAAATTTGTGAGCATTCATAAAATTATTCTCAAAAAGGAGTTGGAGAGACAGTATTGTTTGGAATATCATGTCTTTTATTATTTTTTCTATTTAGGAACAGCTTCTGAAGATGGTAAGAAAATGTTTTGTTAGAATAGCTAATATTTTCAGCTTCATATTTTCATTGATACAAATCAAGCTTTAAAATTACAATATGGTCTTTCTGGGGCTTTGTGGAGGTTCATAACTCCAGATAGCTTATGCATCTAATGCTTGGTTGTTGTGTAGTATTTTTAAAATTCTTTTGCTTTTATTTTAATTATCAAGTACTCATCTGCAGTAGCAGTGTCATTACTTCACATTTTTAGTGTGAAAATATAGGAGCTTCATAATTTTGCATTTGTTTTTAAAAACGAATATTTGCACAAAATATTTCATCAAATGTGTTCATGCTCTGGGAAGCAGGTGCTACTATTACTCATCTCTTTGGGACCTGGGAATTCATTCTCAATACATTATGAACATTTAAACTTGTCATTAGAGAGTAGATGTAGAGACTCAAAGTGAGTTAACAGTTCATTTGCCTCAAACTTTTTTTTTTTTTTTTTTTACTTTGATGAAATTGAACCAGATTCCAAGTGACAATTTAACATAGTATCGAAATAGTGGCACTCTGTATTCCTAGGTTTTTGGGCCAAACTCTGAACGCAGCTACATGCCTTGCAGTCTCACAGCTCTCGGTGGGAAAACATTGCCATTGCACGGGGATAACTAGTAGAGTTTGGACTAGTTGATCTAACCATTCTTGCTAGCTAATTGTTTTCTAATAGTTTAGTGAATAACCTCCTTTATCCTGATTCTCTTCTTATAGACTCTCACCTATGGCTATTCCCTCTACTTGGATGAATAATATTAACTTGGTTGGTCTCCAAATTCTGCTGTGGAAAGCCTAAAGATGCTAGAACTAAATAACAGTCTGTGTACCTAATTCTTCTGGGTCAAATGTTGACTCTACGTGTCTAGAAAATATTTTAATTATGCTGGTTTTAAAAGTGGATTACTTGTTGAGCTAGATCCACTCTCTGCAAGCTTTTTGGGTTTTGTTCTTGCAGCTTATCAGAATTATGCTTAGCATGGTTTCAGGTTTTTTTTATTTTTCGGTTGTTTGGGTTGTTGGCTTAGGAGATGTAGTGCACAACTCTACTATTTCCTTTTATAATTCAGTTACCTATAATTCATCCAACTGGGGTCTTCCTTTCTTTTGTGATTTCATTGTATACTCTGGATGCTATGAGGAAGGAACATGGCTAATGATGCAGAAAGGTTTAACCCAAACCCAAGATGGATTGGCATTCTAGAGGGAAATGACTTTGTTTTAGTCGTAGACACTCAGCTTAATCTGTCTCTTCCTCAGTTCTTCTGTCTGTTGAGGAGAGTAGTATTTCCTTGTGTCATGTTGTCACTGAGAAGCACTTAAGTGTACTTAGTCTTTGGAAAATGCTTTGTAAAAGGTTTGGGAAATCCTGTAGAAGTCTGTATGACTGTGGCCAGGAAAACATTACAATGTTCAGTAATAGGAAAGTAGTATTTAGGTTTCTAAAGAGGAGTGAAGTTAGGAAGAACCTCAGAACCCTAACCAAAAAATAGCCAACATAATTTTTGTAGTTTTATGACAGCCAAAGTAGAATTACAACCACAAGTAAATATGAGAAGTGTACCTGATACAGCAACATTAGCATATGCATTGCCTATTATATTTAATAAACTTCCCTTTTTTTTAATATAATGAACCTATTGATGTAGGAAGCAAGAACTAGCTAGCTAGTCCAGGGTGTTTAAATGACAATATGTAAACTGTTCACTGGAGCATGTAGCATCAGAGCAGAAGTATTTTGATTCCTCAACTAAGTCCTTCAAGATGTTCAAATTTCTACTAATTATCCCAAGCGAATTTTCACCAGTTGAGTTACGTTATGCTTCTTTTTTATCTACAGAAACTTAAGAAAGTATTAGTAAATGCTACTGATGCTTTGCCTTCTACATCACTGTGAAAAACTGATTTAGTGACATTTTTCTTTTACAGGTCGTATACGAACAAAGCTTTCAACGCCTTCTGTTGGCATTGGAAATTCTAAAACAGATTCCAGAGGACGGAGTAGAACCAAAGTGGTGTCACAGTCTCAGCGTATGTATTTTCTGTTTGTCAGTTACACCTGATAAAGAGGCCAAATGTTTAAGCATATATTCATTGACCAATGGCTACAGTCAAAGTTAATTTAAAAAAAAGCTACATACTGAGTTGTTGTTCTGTGCCTTAGGTTCATCATCGCCAGACACAAACGAAGGTATTTTTTTCAGTGTTTTGGGTCAGTGGTATTTGCATGCTTTTCTAATTCATGTTGTTTTTCTCTGGACAAAATACCAGGTTAGGTCTTAGTTTGCCAGTTAAATTAGATAATATAACAGGAAATTAAATCTACCTTTAAATTCTGTCTTCAATTATAACTTCTCAACATTCTTTTCCCCCCCTTTCTGACCTCTCCAGCATGAAACACAGTAAACTTCTGTGTCAGTTACATATGACACATAGAAGGGTAATACAGTAGAATGGGTAGGCTGAATGATGTTCTCAGTGTTACCTGCAAAACCTAATCTATAATTTTTCAAAAAGTCTTATTTTTCATCCAGAAATACTGTCTGAAAAAAATTCATTTTAAGCTAGGCAGTACTCTAGTTCTTGAATATATACTCTTTTTTTTTTTTTGTATTACAGCTGTTACCTTTACATATCCACTTTCTTTTAATAAAACCCTTTAGTTCTGTCTTTAATGGCAGAAACATTTATCTTCGTAGCAGTGACTGCATTTACCATAAATAGGATGACTTTAAAAAGCAGGTAGAAGAGTTTGGGGTTTTTTTTCTAGTTAGAATACTTCCCATTCAGTTTTGTATTACTTCATTTTCCAGCAAATACAGTTGGATTAAACCTGATACAATGTTTGCGGGTTTTGTGAAATGAAATTTTAAAAAATCTGAACAGGTAAATATAAAATAATAAAATCCAATAACAGAAGTTCTCCTAAATAATTTTTTGCTTTGACGGTGTTCTAATCCCCCATGTCTTTGTGGGATGAGAGCTTGAAGATGAAGTCTAGTTATTGGCTGTGACAAAGGTTGTGCCAAACTTTGTTTTACAGTTTCAGTGTTAAGATGACTACATTATATCGTAAACAAAGAATATTTGGATAAATAATTTTAGGAGGAGGGGAGGTAGCAATCCCATCAAATAACTTTTTCCCTTGATGAACAGCTGTAAGCAATATCTGTTACCGTCCTTTCATTAGTATTAGGAAAGTTCTGAAATAAGCTCTTTGAAAATACCTTCGAACTTATGAATAGATTTGGTAAATTCTTAAAAAGTTAAGGTGTTTGATAAACTGGTTGTGGGAGGGGTTAAATTTAGGTAGCTATATAAGACTTCTGGGGTGATCATTGCCATGTAATGTTAGTTAAACTGACTGTGTATTCAGGGAAACAAACTGAAGTTTTTGCAGTTTCATTTTGCTAATAATGATAATTTTTTTCCAAGAGAATTTATTTTTTGCACAGTGTTAATGTCTAAAGAGATAATTTGAATTTATATTGAAATAATTAATTTTGTCTACATTTGATGATGTGTGAAAATCAAATGCATGAATCCATCTTTACAGCCTTTTAATTACTACTTCTGTTCAGAACTGATGGCTTCAAATAGCTCGTTATAACCTGTCAGTGGGGGAGAACAAGAATTCTGAGATGTTTTAAGGAAGATAAACAGGGCAAATATAAATGGACAGGTGAAGGAGAATTGTCAGGTGCAGTATACCAGCTATTTGGTTGATGCTTCTTGATGAGACTGTAAATTTTCACAGCATTGTGGGTAGCAAGGCGGTTGATGTTTCCATACAGGGGATGGTTTTAGTTCCTCAGCGTGTAGTGGGAGAATAGCTTCATATTAGATTTAAGGTTTTCGTTTTTAAAAACCACTGCAACACAGATGCTTTTGTAAATTTAGGGTCACAACTATTTATCACTTTTGTTCAAAGATCATTTTATGAAAGACTTGCAAATTTGAATGCTTTTACAAAAGATACTTTCTTAGGGTTTTAAATGCCCTTTGCTCTTCCTCTTCTAGTTTTAAATTGGACTATAAAATGAATGCATATACAATCTATTGTTCATTATTTTATTATTATCTATGGAAAAAAATGGATCCATTTTTTTCTTCTCCCTTCCTGTTTGGTTGTCAGGTAATTCAGCAAGGTGTGCTAAAATTACATTACAATCTTCATTCAGAGAAAAAGAATTCAATTTCTCAATGGAAAAAAATTAATTTTATACTTCAGATTAATTTTAAAGAGGAAAACCTGAAATTCTATGCAAGTCTTTTCAGTTGTGCCATTGTGAGTTTTTTTTTTTTTTTGATCATCCACTGCACCTGCAGCTCAGTTCCTTTACTGTCCATCTCAAAAAAAAAAAAATTTGGCCTTGCGTGTAATTTTTGTTCAGCTGTTGAACTTTTTGAACTTTTTTAGCAATGTAATATTCTTTTAAAGTAATATGAAGGCTACTGTTTCATGTTTAATTGAAATGTAATTCTTCAGTATTATCCAGTTGTTGATTAGAAAGCTGAAGAATTGTAATTTGCTTGTGCAGCTTTGCTTCATCTGCTTTGTACATAGCATCTGAGTTTAGTTCTTCAACTGTGGAAGCTACTTAAAAGCACTGCTTTAGTGTAACCCCCTTGTGGCTTTTTTTCCTGTGTGAAATGACTAAAGCTTTCTTATTTCCATGTGCCATCCATTTTTTAATCTGCTCTGCTCCCTCCCTCTTCATGGATTATAAACCCCTACCCTAATCCTGCCTTTACACTTGTTCAGGATCACAGTCTGCTAACCCCATTGGTGGTAAGAGCCTACAGAATTTGTGTATACATCATTGTTTGATCACCAGTTTGACATATCTCATTTAAGGACCCTATTCAGCAGAAATTCTGGTTTGCTTTTTTCCGTATGCTGCACTTACCTAGTTGGTTGTAATCCTTATTTACGGATGGGAGGATTTTGTCGTTTTGGAATGCTGTTTTAGTAATCCCTTGATCATTCAGTTCATGTGAATCTACTATGGGTGGCGGTACTGCCAACAGTATGCCAATGCTGTTATTAGCATATTTTCAGTATGTTAAGCTTCATTTGGTTTATTTACACTACAATGGTACACTTAACAGCTCAGACAACAGACAGATAAATGAAGTATTAGAATTGAGAGGTTGCATTTCTTCAGTGTAATCTGAGAAGAGTAAGTTTTTCAGATTTCTGACTAATCGAAGAAAATCTTCTAAAAGTCTCCAGCACAGTGAAAACTTTTACAATATTTTTGTTAAAGAGATATAAAATATTGGAAGCTAGGAAGAAGGCATAGTAATACCAGGACTGAGTTGAAATGCCCTCATAAGAAGAAACTCCCAAACCCTTAATTTTTGCAGACCATAGCAGTTTTATAGATTTGCCTGTTCTTTTTTCACTGTAGAAGTTATGTTTGTTTTTTCCAGGCTGTGTAATATTTTATTTATCATTTCTGCTGAATAGGTCCATATTTTGTAAAAGGATTTTGCTAAATAATCATTTTAAGTTTGAGTTCAAACAATGAATCTGAAAGTATATGCATGGTACGTTGTTTTAGTTTTCTCCCTTCCACTCAGTGTGTTTTATTTTGTTTAGGATTTTGTTTCTTTTCCCGTATGGTCAAGCTTTAATCTACTTGTATTTTTTTTAAATGTACCTCATAAGAAGTAACCCATGAAACTCACTTGAGATGTTGCATGTTAAGTCTGTAGATCTGATAGCATAGCTGTGGTCATACAGTCATCTGATTATTTTTAAAATATTAATGAAAGGTTTGTATCTGTATGTAAGTAACCTTTGGTTAAAATTATGTTTTGCTTTTTATTTGGTCACACTTCTTGAATTCTGCAGCTGGAAACAATATATCAACTGGTGGTATAAATTGATTCTAACTAGAGAAGAATGGATTCTTTTTTAGGGCTTAGAACTTAAATTTTCAGTAACTTAAATGCCAAAATTAGGGATCAGTGACCAGTTTCTGGTAGTGGGTGCAGTGTGTTGAAATGAACAGTTATAGTAATGCCCGGTTATGATTAATAAAAACGAAGGACGCTTAAATACATCTTGATCAGTTTTTTAGCTTGCTTAAAACTAATTGAAGATTTTCTTTGAATTTGTGGGGTAACCTCCACAGAAATGAAGATCAATATTTTGTCTTCAGTTAGATTTTATTTAACTTCTCAGAGAGCAGTGTTTCAAGACCCCATGCTTTTTAAAAGCAAGGGAGGAGACTTTAAGGTTAGGAAAATTATGTTCTTTTATTGTAACATTGGTTACATTGGAAGAACTGGGATAATTTGAAATCAGCAGTTTAAAGTTGTGTCCTTTAGTTTTCTAGCAGTTCTTTTTTTCTTTTTTTCTTCTTTTTTAATAGAAAATATGATTAGTGAGACCATGTAGCTTAAAAAATAAAGACACTGATATTCATGTTAGGGACATTGGAACTGTTGATGAAGACTAGAAATATTATTTATGATATCTTGAGCATATTTAGTACTAAATACCATGCCAAGTGCTTCCTTGTGTTGATGATTTTATCTACCTTGAATGTAGTGCAATCAGAACTTGGACCGGGGTTTTCTATTTCACATTTTTACCTTGCAAGTTTTTCCAGAACATTTAAATCTACCCCCACTTTCCTACTAACTTGAAACAACCATGGTTAAAAAGAAAATATTTCTCTTTTATGCTGTTACTTATATTTATTCATTTTGCCTTCAGCTGGCAGTCGATCTGGGTCTCCTGGAAGAGTTTTGACAACAACCACACTTTCCACTATGAACACAGGAGTTCAGAGAGTGTTAGTGAATCCTGCAGCTGCACAAAAAAGAAGCAAAATCCCACGAAGTCAGGGATGCAGTAGAGAAGCTAGTCCTTCTAGATTGTCAGTAGGTAAGAATCACTGAATAACTCTTGGTGTCTTTAAAGCCCTTCTTACTTTAAGTGCTGGATATCTACTGCTTGCATTTAGTTAAAGGTGGAAGACAAAATTGAAATACGTATCAATAAATATCTAAAAAGTGCCTGTTTTCTGAGGCTAACCTTTGATACAAGACAGTTTTAAATTTAAGGTGAAACATCGATTTTTTGCTGGAATGATGTGGTAGTTATTCTTTCCTTCACCTCTCTTTCTTCCTTCTCTTTTCCCTTTCCTTCACTTATCCCCACCCCCAAAATACCCACATCCATTGAATGAAAGTGAGATACCGTTTTGAAAAGATTATTTTCTTCATTACTTTTGCGTGTCTTCTGCATATGTGTGCGTGCATGTGTGTACTTCTAAGATAGACAAATGAATGCCAAACTTCACTGTATAATCTGATTACACTTTATTACAAACAATATTATTGAAAAATATCAGTTGATTTTAATGGCATTGCTGCTGTTCTTTGTTTCATATTTGATTTTTACCTTAGCTGTATTAACTTTATATTTTCCTCCTTTAGAAAGCTGTGGGTTTTCTCGTTTGTGTTACTGTTGATTAACTTGATCTTGAGCACAAATTCAGAATCAATGCTGTGTTTATAGTTTTTGTTGCTTGTTTCCCTCCTTTTCAAGAGGTTTTTTCAACCGTTCTGTAAAGAGTTGGCAAATCCCCCTTTCTAGCTGTGTGAAGAAATAATTTCATTGAACTAGCTACACTTAGTATAATCCAGCAGGATCACGAAAGTGTGTGGAAGCAGTTATAACTTATCATACAACATAATCATCAGTGTCTTTTCTTAGAAATAGGTCTTTGAACTTACTGCAAAACAGAATTGCATTAAAACTGCAACTTTTCTTATGTCTTCTCCCTTCTGTGCTGCTGTTTGTCTGTACCCTGAATCATACTAGCGCGAGGCAGCCGCATTCCTCGGCCTAGTGTGAGTCAGGGGTGCAGTCGGGAGGCCAGCCGTGAAAGTAGCAGGGACACAAGCCCTGTCCGCTCTTTTCCACCCCTTGGTAAGTACTCAGAGCCCCTTGTTGTGCATGGCTGTCTTTGCCCTTCATTATTTGCACCTAACGAATCCGTGCCTCCTTCATGTAGCTTGTAGCCGGCCACTGTTATTTTCCCTTCCTTTGGCTCGCTCACCACTTACTTTGATGGAGAACTGACCAGTGTGTGAATGGGTTGCACAGCTGAAAAATAAATGCTTTGCTGGCGTTAGTCTTGTCTTAAATACCAGGTCTGGAAATGTGTGTGATACACAGCACCTAGATATTTTTTTTGAAAGGGCAATTCTGCTTTTGGAAAGTTTTTTGAAATTGTGTGTTTCTCCTTTTTGTGACAGCACTCACTGCTTGGGCACAGTTAGGTAAAATCAATTTCTCACTGACCAGCTAGAGCAAAGACTACAGTGTGGGTACCATCCTCTGCCTTTCCCTGCATCAACAGCTGGGGTCTGCTAGTATTCAAAATTGCTCCCTAGTCAATGAATCATTTCGGTGTAGAAGAAGAAAATGCGCTTCATTTTATGTCTCCTTAGCTATATTGTCATCACTGTCTCATGTGAAAAAATAATACAAATTTAAACTTTTTGCTACTAAAGCAAGTAAATATGATGGTGAAGATAAGGGACCAATCTACTCAATCAGAGCTGTATTCTGAGGCTGCTTCCCATTTTCCAAAAATGGAGAAGGCAAGTAGCAAAGTTCTTATCCAAGTAGATGAAGCAAAGTACAGTTCTGAAGTTGACTTTTAATCTGTGTAGAATTAAGTGATAAGTAATTGAAGTAGCAGGTGCTGTTACATAGGGAAGAAGAGAGCAGTTGAAAACTGGAACATTTTTTACACATGCATAGCCGTGTTCAGTCCTCATTCCTAGAGCTGCTAGAAGCAAAAGTTTTCTTTACAGTTAGTATTTCAGCTTATTGGCCTGACACTTCAAAGATTTTGCAAGATTGTGAAGCTGTTGTCTGTTTCTGAAATGTTCGTAAGCCACAGGAACATTAGCTTATAGTTACTTTGACATGTTGCTGGTTAAGGATGAGGGAAGCTTCTCATCTCCATGTATTCTTGTCAAGATTACTTTGAAGTTGGTAGTAAATTTCGATAAAAGTCTTTTTACATGTTGGGGGTTTTTTGATTGCTTGGTAATATAAAACTGTCTCTGTAAGACTGTGTCTGAAAATGATCTTTTTTGGTGTTATCTTTGAGTTAGTCTTCAGTGTGTATCCTCTTCTGTTTGTTCACGTGTAGCTTACAGTTAAGGACTGCACAATACTAGCTGCTAAACAGAGTCTGAAAGTAGTAAATCTCCGGTTTCTCTCTCCAGTTGAGGCACCTGACAGTACTCCTAATTAGCATCGGAAGTCTGTTGTGGTCTGTTAAGGTGGTATGCTTTCTGTCAGCCATGGTTTTATGGGGAAAGTCCAGATTAATTGAATAAAAGCTGTTCCAGTAACTAATGCTAGTTTGTCCAGATGCTGTTTAATGGGGAAATTAAAATAAAAGTAGATCTTATGCAGGATTAATTAGTAAACTTGCATCGTTACTAAAATGCATATGGCAGACTTTTTTTCTTTTAAAACAAGGGTATTTTCTATGTCTTTTTGTGCTTCTTTTGCTTCCTTACCCTTGACTTCAGTTGCATGTGTGAGATCGATTTACATTTTCTATTTGGTCCAGTGCTTGTTATCTTAAGAAGTCTGTATTAAACTAATAAGATGGATCAGTGGGACAGATGCTACTTGAGGTTTTATTTTTATTGATAGAGATTAATTTTTGTGTTCAGATACAAAAAAAGTACTTTTACAAATATTGTAGGTTGAATGGTCTGATAGCAAAGTAGCGTGTATAGGAATCCAGTGTTGTTAGAAACAAAAAAACCCAGCTATACCTGGAATAAATGAGAATTGTTAGAATTCCTTCTAGTATGAATTCTTATTTGAATGATTCTGTTGGAACAGCTTTATCTTATGGGATGCTATTAAGTTCTATCAGAATATTAAATTTAAGGGTATGAGTGGAAGATAAAAGAAGGCAAATTCAACTCTGTGTTTGTAGCTAGAGACAGTTTTAGATGGAGTTGGAGGGGGGAATAAAATTTGTATTCCATCTGATTCTCAGCACAGAAATTTTTGCTTACAAGTGCTAAACTCTTTCGGGCACAAAATGTCCCAAGTGCTACATAATTGCTTCTCTGTGTACATCGGTATGAAGTGTTTATGTAATCTCACATCTCAGTGTAAGACTATAAACAGCCACTCTGAGAAGTGATTTGTAATCTAGATGGAAGTGCCTATTTTTCTGTTATAGTTAATATTAAATATCAGACCAGTATAATTTCCAAAATTTAGGCAAGAAATCGTTGCATCCATTTAAAATAATTCTTACCTTGATTAGTCTTTTTTAAAAAATGAAACAACAAAAATAAATACTTGCATGATTACTGCAATTGAGGGGTACAAAGAATATTCTTGAAAATATGCTTTGGAATGAGGTATGTTTGAGCCAATATAGTGCTTCCTTTCTTGGTCTTAATAACTTGTCTAGCATATTTCAAATGTATACGAGGACTGGATCGTCTTGAATTATATGTCTAAAGTTTGAATTTTTAATTGTACCTTTAATTTTCAGGGCTTGTTGATGGAAAGCAATAAAAAGATTTGTCCCGTTATTGCTTGTACTTAAAGCTCCATCAGCCTTGATGCCTGTGTTTTGACAACCTTTGTCCTGTCTCCTTCTCCATACTGAGACAGACTTTATGAAGAACCAAATATTCCCCAAAGCAGTGTTTGCAAAGTAAAATTCCCAAGCTAAACAACTTCATGCAGGTTTAGTTTGAAATAAAATACATTGCTGTACGTTATAGAAGGAGTAGAGAACTTCCCATGGAAAAAACAGTGTTGTTTCAGGGATCTTTATATCTCTGAGGATAATCTTGGAGTGATTTAGTTCATGTCAGGGTTAAACTCTTAAATTGTCTATGTCAATCAGAGTAAAGGATGATTCATTTGATTTGTTGTTTCTCTTTATACTACTTTATGTATCCAAAAGATGTAAAATATTTGCATTTACAGTTACTTTTAATATTATATCTGGGGTTTATGTCAATGTGGGTGGACATTTAAATTCAAGTTAAAATTTTCAAAACCAGTTTCGTTTACGTGGCTGTAAAATACTAACTTAAGTGAACTGAAGAAAGAAGATAAATTGAATTTAAAATTATTTGGTTTAAGAAACAAAATGTTACCAATGGTGAGCCAACTTCTTTAGAATGTCTAAAAGACCAGTTTTATGCAAGTGCCAGAAGGAGGAGGGTACTCAGTTTTATTTGAAAATCCTTAAGGATCTTTGTTTCCCACTTTCCATAACTTTAAAGAATCTTAATGAGCTATAGTAACTAACATAAATGTTTCAATTTCACTTTTTATTTATTTAAAGAAAACAATACAAATGTGAAGTATTAACTACATTAAAATATTTTAAACTTGTAGTTGAATAATTTTAACTTTCATCTACATAGTGGTGAGTTTTACCTGAGGTTGACTTACCTGGACATAGGCAGGAACTTAATTTTATAGAAATTGTCAGCTGATAACACAGTAAGTTTGTGCAGCAGTCACTTTTTGCAGATAATGTTTGGTATGTGAGCTCTGGCTCTGACTTGAGCATGTAGAATTGAGTCAGCTCTACAATGGGAGATCGGTATCAGTGGAACTTTTTAGATATTTCTGAAGATTCTGTTTGTGTGTGACTGTGTGCGTGTGTGTCTGTGCATTTTTTTCTTCTTCAAACTTAAACATACTTGCTTTTAATCTGCTCTTGACCTTTTAAATTAAAAAAAATTGTGCATGAAATGTCCAGTGTACGTAAACCCGTATAGTTTTATATAATCATATTCTGTGTAATCAAAGAACTTCTCTGAAGCTTTTTCCTTCTGTATAATACTCAGTTTCTTGTGCTAGAGCTGAATTTTTTTTTTAAATATTCTCTTGTTCATCTAAGCAACTGTTGCAGCACTTTGATTCCATGGTAATAGATAGGGTTTATATGATCCTGTTATTGCAGCTTCCAGACATCACTCCAGATCCACTGGTGCCCTCTACACTCCTGATGTTTATGGGGCTACAGGTGAAGGATGAGTACACTTTGCTGTCATCTGTGCAGTCATCCTGGATTTTTTTTTTTCCCCACCCACTTGGTTATTCTCATAGCTCAGTTTTTAAAAGTGTTATTTATATTAATTTGAGTTTTGTGGTTTTAATAATCCAGATAGATGTGTTTATGTTTCTAGTTCATCGCCACCCCCACCCTCCAATGTTGATCCTTTTTTTCCTTAACAACAATCATTTTATTTTCAGTTGCAGAAGAACTTTTTTTTTAGTTTTCCATTTTTCAGTATTTGTAGAGCATTCTTTATGCATGTAGTTTTCTAATCAGCACTCTCAATAGCCTTCCTATTGTATTTGCTTTCTTGTTAAATGAAAACAAAAACCCAAAATGAAGAAGAGATTAATTAAAAAAAAAAAGAAAAGGTTCTTTCAGTTAAAAAGATTGTTTTGTGGGGTATTTTTTTCCCTGTGATATTGAAATAGGATGTTTGTATATGACTCTGTTTTTTAACTTCATTTCTTACTTTTCACTCCACCAATGAAGACTTTAGAATGAAAATAACCAGTATTTTAGCCACTATATAATTTATTAGAAATGTTAAGCAAATGCTTTTCTTCTGCTTGGGTTTTTTTAAGAGAGTGTGGTATTAATGTTCCATGTTGCTGTTCTGACTGAATTCTTTATGCTCATTTTTGTTGTTGTAACAGGTACCGGCTTTGGAATTAGTCAGTCGAGTAGATTGTCGTCATCAGTTAGTGCTATGAGAGTTCTGAACACAGGTTCTGACGTGGAGGAGGCAGTAGCAGATGCTTTGGTAAGAATCACACACTAACCTTGTGTAGGATAGAGATTTTCAAAATGTTTGGTTTGGTTGAAGGCTTGTCAGAGCTGGGAATGACGATGGCTAAAGCACTCTGCTTATCATAAGCCTGGGTGCCATTTAAAGTTTTTCTGTCTGTGAGATTGATGCTGAAGAGATGAACTGATGGTTTGGCAGGCATCATTTCATAAGTTTAGTTTTTGTTTTCTTTTGCTTTAAAGGTGTTACTCTGAATTAAAAACTGGTTATGCCACTCCCTTAACCTTTACTGTTCTTTAAAAAGAGTGGGTTTGGCTCCTCTACCTCCATGCCTGTTAGCCAAACTAAACTCATCATATATTTTGCTATTCTGAGATTTACATCAGCAAGCTGAAATCTTCAATTAATTTAAAATGCTGACACTATGAGTCAGATACATTTTTATCGGGTATTGTATACTATTTGCATATCATTAAATATTTAGAGGTCCCTGTTATCTAGTTATCAGAATGCTTTAAGGAATCTGTTATTACTCTCTTTTAACAAAAAGATTATTTGCAACATTAGTAAAAAACTACAAAGTAGACTAAAAATTTAATTATAGCCAGATATGACTGGATAGAGAGAAACAAAATTTCAAAGGAAAAAATATGAAGAACTCTGTAATTTTCTTAGTCTGGCAGTTTATTTATTTCTTGGTTAATACTGTCTTCTTGGCACATTCGTTTAAACTTTGTGTGCCTTCTAAAAATGTAAGAGGAAAATTTGTTTGTATATTTTAGCTAGAATCTGTCATTACAAAGAAGGATCAAGAACAATGTTTTATTACTGTAGTATTTGCATGCCTGGTTGCCTGCCATGCTCTAAATGTCGAGTTTGTCCTGTACAAATGGCTCATTTCGATGGAAATCTCGTTATGAACCCCCTTCTTTATGTTTTATCATAGACTGATGTCCCCCCCACCCCCCAACAGTGTTTTTAAAAGGGAGAACATAGAGTCCTGACAGATGTAATGTAAAAATTGATAATATTCTGGATTATATTACTGTTTTTATGGTATGAAAAATACCTGGCCAGTTATAATGCTGCTCAAGTTGAAGGGGTCTCAGTCTCCTGGCTAAGATCTGGTTTGAATATGACACATGAAATGCAGCAATATGGTGATGGTTGCATGTTTTTATACCTTTTACTTTAGCCCAGTCCTTGGCATTTCAGATTCTCTTTCTTGGGGGGGAAAAAAAAAAAGTTTCTTTACTTATGGTGACCCTTTTCAAAAATGCTCATGTCTCTGTGATTTTTTCCCTTCCTTTGTTCTGTTATGCATGTATGTATGTTGGTAATAAGCTTGCTTGTTACATGATGCATTGGCTAGTTTGTACTGGGATATCCTTTAAGTTATTCTGCAGTCAAAAATGAGAACCATCTGCAAATGGCAATGATAATGAAGGGGAAAACAATCGCTTATACTAGTGCTTCTTTGAGTATGTAATGAAAGCAAATTTTTAACTACTAGCTTTGACTCCAAAATTTGAATGGCAGAGTTATTTTGCAGAGGTGTGTGTTTTTCCTTTTAGGATAAATACTTGTTTTGGTTTTTTTTCCCTTTGGCTTTTGGCTTGGTTTTGATTTTAGGGGATTTGGCATTTTGCATTAGGTAATTAATTTTTTCATAGGACATTGCTGTACTAATTGTTGCAATGACAAAATTTAGATACTGAAATTAAGTTAAATGAAGAGGTGGAGAAGTTGATGGAAAAATGAAGTTTAAATGAAGGTTTCATACTTAGATAGCAATTGACTGTATGTGTTAAGTCTTCATCCTCAAGTATTACTGCCTAAGACACAAGACTTTGGCAGAGAAGTCTTTGTGACCAGCCAGGAGATGATCTGTAATGCTACCCTGGAAATGGAAGCTTAGCAAACTACTGCTTGGCAGTGCATGATACGCTAATCGGATATAGAGAGCTAAGAACAAAATTTACAATAAAAATTTATATTTTCCAGTGGCAGGTAGTTTAGTAGTCACAGTGCTGCTATGCCTTACCTTCCTGTTCTCAATTTCTGTTTCTTTTCGATAATTTACTGCTAACAGCTCTTAGGAGACATACGGACTAAGGTATAGAATCTCTTTTCCTTCTTCAGTAGTTTAATATTTTGCTATTAACATACTTGATATGAAGTAAATTAAAATGACAGACTATGTGGGTTTAAACCTGATTCTTATATTCTGTAACATATATAAAGTTATTAAGTGAAATAACTAACTTTCAATGCAGTCTTTATGTCACCCTATAATGCAGTTTCATGGATTTTTACAAGTAAACTTTCAGTTTAATGTTTCATCAAACGTATGTCTTCTCTGCATTTGCTTTGCTTTTATATTTGGAATACTGCACAGCCATACTTAAAAATATTTTTATTAACTCGGTTTGACCTGTTGAACAGTTGTCATTTGTCACTGCAGGGAGTAGGGGTCACACCAATTATCTGAAGTGTTGTTCTTTTTGATGATTATGGGTATGTATACTGTCTCTTTGAAAATCCTTACTAATGTTGGGTGTTTCTGTATGACAGAAGAAGCCTGTACGAAGAAGATATGAGTCCTATGGGATGTACTCAGATGATGATGCCAACAGTGACGCATCAAGTGCCTGTTCAGAAAGGTCCTATAGCTCTAGGAATGGAAGCATACCAACGTATATGAGACAGACAGAAGATGTGGCTGAAGTCCTAAATCGTTGTGCCAGCTCCAACTGGTCAGAGAGAAAAGAAGGCCTTTTAGGCCTGCAAAACTTATTAAAGAACCAGAGAACTTTAAGGTAAGAAGACACGTTAGCGGAGAAACATTTTATTTCAGAGCTAAAGTGAGGCAAGAAAGTAGGAAAGGAGGCTAGTGTTCTAAAGAGTACAGAAAGCTGGGGAGAGGGAAAGCAGGATGTGTGTCTGTGAGAGCAAGATGGGGGAAGGAATGAGGAGGCTATTGCCACTTCTTGGCCACTGGTGTGTAGGACCTGTTTATAAAGCTCAGTTTAAGAAGTTGGATTTAAAACCAAGAGAATTCTTGCAATACAAATGATTTCTAAATACTTGCATCTAGTATTGATGGAAGGCCTTTATTTTTATTTGTTTATATTATATTTTATTAGTAGTATTTTTTTTTTATTTTTTCAGAAGAAAGTGTTTGTTATGAGCTACTAAGAATACTTCATTATCTGTTCTGTTAAAATAGCCGGCAATGGTTTAATGAATGAATTAGTTTAAAGAGACGTTTCTAGGTCGAAAGTCTCAGTGTAGACAAAATGCATTACATTTTTATCCATGTTTTAAACAATGTTTTTTCTACTTCATTTACTAGGTTATTTGATTCAATATTTACAGTTGATTTCACTGATTGCTATGCATTAGGATTCCAGTAGTACTAGTAGGAGTTGACTAATGTGTTGTTGTCACTTTGACAGTCGTGTTGAGTTGAAAAGGTTGTGTGAAATCTTCACAAGAATGTTTGCTGATCCTCACAGTAAGGTATGTTTAGGTTTTTCTTACTTGCAGTAAATGTTTGAAAACATGTATTACTAGAAACTCAATTGTGGTAAAATATGTCACGTAAAAATTTCACAAACTTATTCTATAAGCAGTTAATGGTATCAGATTTCAATCCGATTTAATTTGCGATTTTGAACAAGATAATTTTCCACCTTTTTCACAGGACAGTTGAAATAGAGGTTAATTTCATCTAAAATGCATTGCAGTAGTTCAGCAGTTTGTGCTCAAAATTTGTAAGTATTTTTAAGAAGTCACGTTGTTTACAGAGGCCACTTCAACATGAGTAATGGTTTTCTCTCAATTAGAAATGAAAGGCTTTGGTGCAGTAATTTGAATCATAAAGAAAGTGGTCCGACTAAATCATACATGATGAGTCTGATGAACTGTACCAAATGTGTACTACTTTATTTTCCAATGTATTTTGCATTATCATAGCTTATGATGTCTTCCTCGGATTCATAGATATGGCTGGCAGTTGAGACTGTTGAATAATTTTTGCATCATTGTTAGCATTCAATAAGTAGGATCAAGACTATACTTCAGTATAAAAGGAAATGCGATGTTCTATTTACTTTTACCTTGGTAAAGACCCCGTATGGATGATATAACAAGGAGAATATTCCTTCTGTAATTAATATCTTTGTACCTGAGTTACTTATATAATGTAAAAACCATGTACCTTCATATTTTGTCTGAATTATAGGCTTGTTTGGAAGAAACCTTATCTTTTATGTTGAGTATAACATGTCCCCCTGTGTGTCCGTATTTCAGAATTAGTAAAGTGATAACCCAGAACAATCAGAGTGAAGTAGTTGCTTCAGAACTATTGGCTTTTCCCAGCAGAATTCTGAAAAATTACTTTGATTATGCAATACATTTTAAATATTTTTAAGTCTTCCTTATTGCTGCAATGGAAAACTAAATTCAGAGTGATGAGATGTCTTGACAGGTTAAGTTAGTGTTCGTCTGTCCTCCTTATTTTTCCTGCTGGATGAGGTGACTTAGCTGCTATCTGTGACACCATGTATTTTGGCAGAAACTTGCATTGCACACAGCAACGTGGTATTCAAGTTGCTCACATACTGCAGAAATTCAGAAGAAAAGATTAAAGCCAAGCAGTTAGAGAGAAACTGGAGAAAACATTCCAAAAAAAGAATAATTAAGTCAGAGGAGAGGAAAGAAAATTAAATGTTGAAATATTTCTTGTTTCTAAATGAAGTAATGACAAAATTGTGAATAGCAGCTTGGTTTAATTTTGCTTGTTCTGTGTTAATTAATATTGCATATATAATGAATATATCAGAACTACCCTGGAGGTTTGGTGGTGGGTTGTTTTTGTGGTTTGTGTGTTTTTGGTTTTTTTGGGTTTTTTGGGGTTTGGTTTTTTTTTTTTTCAGTGGGGGAGCCAGGGAAGGATAATGAAAATGTTCCAGAATTTGGTTGTAGATGTCAGAAGAGCATTTTGTCTTTTCATTAAGCCTTTAGGAAGGTTACATTTACTCAGTTGTCTTCTTTTGTTTTGTTTAGTGGGCATTCTGACATAAAATAATGTTGCTTTGATTTGAAAATGTGGCCTGTGTTACAGCTTTTTGGTGTTGTGAAACTATTAATAGTTATCGGTACATGTATGAGAGTTCATGAACTGTGGATTTTTTATCACACACATGTGGCTACACAAATCTCATCTTAGACTCTTTCCAAGTACCTGTAGGAATTATTCTGTCAGCACTTTTGTTTTTTTAAAAATGTTTAACATGATAGGTGTATGTAGGGAATTGCTCAGAAAAAGAGAGTAATATCATTTGGAGGAGAAAATGGGAGAATGATTTGAAGGACATGCCAAGTGCTTACTTTTAAAATACATTGGATATCCCAATAAAATTACCAAATTTATTATAAAAGTTTTGAAATACCTTTTTTGTTTTATTTTGTTTTATATTCCATACAGGAATTTTGTATTGATGGCCACTAATTTGTGTTTTTATCTTTTTCCCTTTTTTGTTGTTTTGTTTTGTTTTCTTTTGTTTTTGTTTCATTTTGCATGCTGTCCCCTGTGTTGGAACTCTCTTTAGAGAGTAAGTTGGTTCAATATTTGTTGGAAGCCTAACCTTACTTGCATGAATGTGCAATTAACCCTTTTTCTCTATTTTTCTTCCCCAAAGAGTTCATGCAGTGTCAAGCCTTTTGCAATCATAAAATGCTATATATAATTATGTAAACTGTGTGGTAAAGTTTTGAGATGTGCTTTATCTACTAATTAACTGACATTGTTTGGTTACGCATAAAAAATATTGTGGTGGTTGGCACATCTGAAATAATTCACTTCAAAGGTAGATCACTTATGATTATTTTCATATCTCTTTTTTTTTTCCACTCTGAAATTATTAAAAACTTCAACTTTAGATGCTTGTTTTCAGGATTTTAATTTACATCATAAAAATTGAAACTGCAAAAATTGCAGTACCCACATGCATTGTTCAGCGTGGTTGAGTTCCATTTTCCATTCCAAATTCATCCTTTACCTTAAATGCTCTTTTATAAAAAGAGCTACAATATGCTCTTTTGTAAGGCTTCGTAAATTCTTCATGCTTTGACCTGACTCAGCTTCTTAGCATTTTCTCCAGCCATTCACTGTGGTAAGCCTAAAATCAAACAAAGCTTGAAAAGAAAACTGAGTCCTCAGTTATGTGTATTTTTAACAGCTAAAACATTGGCACAGGATCTCCAGAGTACTTCTGTGATAGCGATTCATAATTCACTTCATAATGATTGCAATTTAAACCACTTTTACGTGTTTAAAGTGTCATAAGAAGTCCACGTTACTCCATCAAATAAGGGGTTGTAACCAGTTTGTTCAGCTTGCACATTTTAATGAAACAGACGTGTGTGTCAGTGTCTGCAAACTCAAACAGGTACAGTTTACAAATTCTGCTGAGTTGTATAGTTTCATTGGGAGGGTTTTAAATACAATTGTGAGACCCCCGGTGTAAGCTTCATAGCACCAGATTTTTTTCTCTTGTTTTCCTAAGTGCAGTATATTTTCCCCTTATTTTTAGGTCTGGGAAATCCAAAGGCTGTCATATTACAATACAGAAAGTAGTTTTAGGCTTGGTTTTGCATAGGTCTTACAATTGTGCCCACTACTTGCGCATCCACAAAGTGCCATATTGTTTCAGTTTGGCCAAATACAGAAGGTATTTCCAATCCCGAGCGTAAAAATTTGTTCCCACTACTGGGAAGATAATTTTTAAACCACAGACTTAAATAAAACCTAGGCAGGTAGCAGAGAAGTTAGCAATTTTTTTTTTTTTTAATTTTTAATGTAGTTTGCCCTAAAAGGGAAATTAATTAAGGTAGCTCATTCCAATGGGCTTTGAGTAGGATTTGTATTGTTTTGTTTCTGACATGGCTTTTCAGTATTTAAGATGTCTGTTAAAAGATTGTCCCCAGTCTTTATTAGATCCTGAAAGAATCTGAATTTATTTTTTTATTTCTAATGTAAATTTTGAGGCACTTCTTTTAAAGATACCTGCATGGATTTTTTCACTTTATGGTGTGAATTTGCTTGCCCTGGCTTGATTATCAACGTGAAGAGAGATCTAATTTCCTGAGCAATAAGGGCATGCAGCAGCATATACCCAGTCTTTTCAGCATCATTTGTATTTATTGTGTTCAACATTATTTATTGAAAAGAACATGACAGATCACATCTTTTTGAAAAGACAAAAGTACTTCTCTGTTTTAAACACCTGCCAGTGTGAAATATATCATAGATTTTTTTTTTCCCTACTCTGGTGAATAATTTTGTGTTTGGATACCTGCAATAGCAGGAGAATCTTATTCTGTTCTGCAAATATTTTATGTAAAGGAATTGACCAGCTTTCATCATTTTGCAGTATTTAGTAATGCAGATATTTAGAATAAATATTTCGCTTAAAGAATTGTAGCATCTTTTTTGGTTTTAGAGAGAAAGTGGTTTTTGTAGTCTTGGAGGTATATGTCAAATCAACGATAAAGCTTGAAAGCGTGAAAAAATCTTTACTGAAAAAAATGAGGTTGCGCCAGCCATCACAGTAAGCATTTCTTTTCTTGACGAAACTGCATGGAATACCTAATTGTCAAACTTCTACAGAAGTCGGCTAACATTTCCAATGTACTCTTGTATCAAAATGCAATGAAAAAGCAAGACAGATTTCTTTTTTTTTTTTTTTTTTTTTTTTTTTTTTTTTCCTGCTTGGCTGCAAAACACTGCCTTTCTCTGCCTCTGATTCCCTTACTGCTTTCTTCTTTGTTTGTAAGTTCAGCATACGTCAGTGTCGTTTCCTCTTTTGCCCCATCCTACCCTCTTTCCATCTTCTGCCTTTTAGGTGTTCAGTATGTTTTTGGAGACACTGGTAGACTTCATCCAGGTCCATAAAGAAGATCTGCAGGACTGGCTGTTCGTGCTGCTGACGCAGCTGTTGAAAAAAATGGGTGCTGATTTGCTTGGGTCTGTACAAGCAAAAGTTCAGAAGGCACTTGATGTCACAAGGTAACGAGTTCTTAACAAAAAAAATTTTTTAAAAATTTAAAAATCCACTAAAAAAAAATCATGCTACTTCCAAGTTTTGGGGTTTTTTTAGTGTGCTATGAGATTGTTGGAAAAACGCAGAGCTAATAACAAATTGTGGCACTTCCGTAAATCTCGGTGCTTAAGTATTTTGGTTTCCTAAATGGCCATTAGCTGAAAAGGTTTGAGTCCTTAATGCTGAACAATTAATATGAAACTACTGATCTGATTCCAAAATGTGCATCTGAGCTGTGTATTTTTGTTACATGATCTTATGTGATTTTGGGGACCATCAGAGCTGCCCATCCCTGGCCAGTTTCATTTACAAATGAAAGCTAGATTTTTAAGTAAAGTTGGAGGGGCTCTGGGACCTACTTCTCAGTAGTAATATGCAGTAGCACCTCATATTAATTTGAGGATTGCATAGATTCAGAATACTACCATATCATTATTAGATCATTCCTTATTACTTGCATTATCTATACTATCTCTAATTGCTTCAAAACAGGAATGTCTTAAATTTTGTTCTTTACATGCTAGGTGAGTGCTTCTGAAAGTCAGATATAAATATCAAAAAAAGTGGTAGAAATTTTTTTCTTTTAGAAGTACTAAAGCTTTTCTTAACTGAAAGGAGTGAAGGCTTATTTAGTGCCTCTCACCAGATACTAAAAGAAAATTTCATGTAACTTAACGTGATTTGTTTGTTTTACAGGGAATCTTTTCCAAATGACCTCCAGTTCAGTATTTTAATGAGATTTACTGTTGACCAGACCCAAACACCTAGCCTGAAGGTAAGCATTTTCAGGCTTGCGTTGCAAACAAGAATCTTAATTGATAGGCATTTGCTTGTCTTAATACTAGAATTTGGAATGTTATTTTTGTTTTGTTTTTTTAAAAAAAGTTTTCAATTAGTGGATTTTGTTTTTGTAAACTTTCAGACAGTCAAGCCAGCACTACAGGACCAGCTTCGCTCTTTTTGGAGCTCAAAGGTTTTTGTCTGAATTATTGTCTTTATTCTTAACCCTATGTCAAACTCTTACAGTGTTTCCAATAATTTTATTTGAACGCATTTGTGTGCTGCTACTAACCTTTGCGAGAAACTTGAAGCATGCAGATGTTCAATTTTAAGCATTCCACTAGTATGAAAATGTTTGCTGCAAGAAAGATCTAATAAAAGCACAGTACAGTGAAAATGAGCAACAAAAATGTGGCTGCCTAACATCAAGCTGGTTATGCAAACTCACTCTATCAAGTCTTCTCTAATTTCATGTTTGTGATTTCCCAGTTGTTTTCCTAGTTCATATATATCTTTTCCTGTGTTCAGCCTGATAGGTCTTGAATTAATTTAAATTATTTTAATATTAATATGAACTTGAGTAACTATATTAAACATCAGCTCCCCTTTACTGAAAAGTAAAATGTATTCTGTAGTATTTACAGTTCCAAATAAAGTTGATTTTGGGATAAATGCATCAGATCCTAAGAAGATTTACAAGTGATGTAAATGGAGAAATAACAAGCATATGATAACTGGCATTTTCTGCTCTATCCTGCACGAAATATTTGTATATGGTTTCATACTGCACAAGAGTATGACTTTTCCCAAGTTACGTTGAACCTAAAGTCACATGAATATGCCTTTTTTGTCTACAGTACAGTAAAACTTATATTTTTAAGCTTTTGAGGACAGTTGATACGTTGACTGCTGTTGCTTCATAGAGCTGTGTTAAAAAAGGGACTGCTGTCATTTATTGAAGACAGCAAATGAGGTAGTAAAAATCAGTTTGTTGTTTAAATAAATCCTTGGAACAAATTGGGCTTGGTTTTGTTTTACTTGATTTTCCTCCCCAGGAAGGTGAATTTGATGGTTGAGATGTTCTTTTTTTTTTTTTTTTCCATTCAGCAGTATAGCTGGTAAATGCATATTGATCACGTTTCAAAGTTGGGAGTGTAGATTTGGAACGAGACATAGACTCCCACTTGGGACTAAGTTCAAGAGTATTCACTGTGTAACCTAGAAGGAATTAAGAAATCTGAAACACTTAATGGGAAGGCATTCTGAATATAATTTCCAGTATTTGAGAGAGACTTCTGAAATCAAAATGTTGATAAAAACTACCTCTGTGGAAGAACACCTGTTAGTTTGGAATAAAATCAAGAGTATTTAAAATGAGTTTTTGGGATAGTAAAGTATGTAACTGTTTAAGAGAAGGTAAGCTTTTTTTCAGATGAAACTGGTGTCTGCCCCCTACTTCCATCTTTATGAGGTAATTACAACTTCAGGATCCGGGGAGTAAAGTCATTGAACATAAATTGCAGAAATATCTGTTTAATACCCACATTCTTGAATGTTTTGTCTAAATCCCATCCTCACTGCACCCAGATGTCTAGCAGATTAATTTATAATCCTAGGGCACTACTCCATTTCTTGAAGTCTTCAGCTTTTCTTCTTACTCTGATAAATGGTTATTTTTTTGCAGAGTGTGCCTTTGGGCTAGATACACTGAGAAACAGCATTCACTATGACATGAAAAATCAGAGAAAGGTTTTTCAGTATCCTTAAAGATGGTCAGATATAAGAGGGGATGATAGATCAGAAATGTGCTCCGTGGAAGGATTTCCTTCTGAAAATGACTTTTCCCCTCTAGTTTTTAATGTGGTAGTAGCAAATAAATTCGTGATCGTTTAGAGTCGTTCTTACACTTAGAAACACAGCGAAGTCTTGAACAATAAAAGTTAAGCTTTTAGAGTGGGCACAGAGGTGGATTTGGGTAGCTAGCCAGTAAAGAGGACCACAGAGGAAATATAATTCTGCTGAGTGAAACCATGGAGGGTGCAGCACAGCGTATTGTGCTGTATCTAGCTTAATTTCTTTGGATATAATTGTATGTGTAGGTGTGGTGAACTGCTGCAATACAGTTTAGAGGTGCCTGATGCATGTAATTATTTTGGTCAAATGTATGGATAGGCACAGGAGTCAAATTTTCTAGAGAGGATGTAATCTATTAAGCTTATTTTCGCAGGTGCAGAACATCTGCTTTCCAAAGGATGGCTGTTGTCCTGAAATACACTTCAGTTCATCACTTTCATTTTTCTCAGGTTGAATATCAAATGGCTCACACTGAGTGAGGAATTGATTTAAGCATTGTGACCAAAGTTCACTACAAATTTCTGAACCCTTATTTCCTTTGAAAATACTGATTTGTTGACAAAGGTTTTTGCCACAGTTGATCAGATTTCTTTTTTCCCTAAGTCTGTATTAAAATTTCTGGATTAAAAAACAAACAAAAAACAAACAAAAAAAAACAACCAACCAATGACACAGATTCACAGAGATGAGAGCGCCCTTCAAAATTAATCTTATTTTAGTCATTTAGTTAAATAATGGCAGAGGCAGTCACTCCTAAGTGTCCAGTAACTTAGGGACAGACACGTGGGATGTGGCAATCTGAGAGTCACTGAGTGATTGCTTGAATTCAGTCTGATTAAGGCAGAGCAGAGTCTCTCGCATCCCAGGAAAGCACTGCAAGAGATGGACTTCTTTCTGGTCTAAGTAAAGCAGCTTCTCCACATTCCTCTCTCCTTTTTACTTTTTTCCTGATGCAGCAAATGAAACTCTGTAAATCTCAAATTTTTCACAGGAAGGGAAAACAGTTTGCCTTCAGGCACGGACTGTGTAGCATCTTACAGTATTTCCTAAATCTCTGGAGGTAGTTGCACATCTTTTTGTTCCAGAATTTGTTGTTTCATCATTTGTGAAAGATGTTTATGAAGCACTTTATTTGCATTTATGTCTACTCTTTTTTTTTTTTTTTTGTAATAGTGCTAATTGTGGCTTGATCTATGTTTCAGCTGACTTACTCCAGCAGTGCTATTCTTAAACAACATGTCTGTGTTTGTCTGTGTTATATGCTGTACAGGAAAAATATGTCAGCATTTATAGTCCAACAAAAGTACGTTAAATTCAACTTAGAAGAGTATAAGGAAAGTCAAGACAGTATTAAACTACTTCGCAGACAGTGGTTTCAGGTTAACAGCAAATACTAATTGTAAGAATTCCTGGAGCTGCTTTTGTTGCAGTCAAAAATTATTTATCTCCTCTCTCAGAGAGATGAGATGGACTGCTAAAGATAACTATGCTAGACCTTTTATTTCTGAATCTCAACTCTGTACATACATACTGGAAATGGTGACAAAAATACATCATAAGCAGATTTGCTGCTATTATAGAATTTACTCAGGGTAGGGTGTTTTTTTGTCTGTAATAATACTGTCTCCTTATATTTGAGCATAGAAAAGAACCCCTTACAGAATTTCTTCTCTTAAAAGAAATTAGCGAAAAACACTCTCAAAAGAGCTGTCAAACTTAGCTTTGGGTCCCTGTCTCACTGGGCAAAGCTTTCTTAGTGCAAACTGTCTCCATTCATTTTCTATTCAGTGCTCTTCTGTCTCTTGAGAGCCTCCATCTTTGGAGAAGTCTGTGCAGTTTACTCTCTGGGAGTAGTTTAAACATGAAATAATACTGCTTTCTCACATAGAGTACTCAGTTGTTTTCATTGGAGAAATGCTTCTAGATGTTCTAAATGTGACAGTTCTTAACAGTAATTTTTTTAAGGTGTCATATATATTAAAATTGTGGGCAGTGAAACATAGTGCTGTCATAATGGTTTCACTTGGTAATCTAGAAATTTTAATGTTATTACTTCATATTTGGAAAATCATGTAGCCTAAGTTTTTTTGCTGTGGAGATGTTTGTGGGGTTTTTTTCCCTTGGAAAGATTCTAGCAAATAGTGTGGTTTTTCCTGCATTTGTTAATATTGATCTGCAGAAGATGAAAGCCTCCAGCTGTTCCTTGTTGTATAACTTTGGAGAAGTTGAGCTTTAACAGCTGCTGTGAAAATGAATTAGTCATTATTAATCTAAATGTATCAGCTGTCACTAATGTGTGTGTCACTTAGGTATATCTTGAGTTTTTAAGAGCTTGTAAGTTTTGATGACCAAAGGAATTTCTGAATACCTTGTTGTACCACAAGCCATGAACAATCCAAAATGCAATCTGGGATGTATAAAACAGCGGTTCTGCATAAGGAATAGAGGGAGTTAGTGGAGCAGGAGAATGATGCTCAGATAAATGAGGGAGTAAAGCAGCCTTTCCTTCCTCTTGGTAAATCCATGTCTGTCTTCTGAAGGTCTTCAAAGGAAAAGTGTGAGTGTGACCCCTTCTAAGGCTTTTGTAGAAATTCTATTCCATAGTATTGAATGGGAAGATTCATGTGGCTTATCCCCAAAGACAGTGACTGCTCAACTCTGGTATTTTATAAAAGAGTTCTGGGTGTTAACTGCATAGTAGGAACTAATAGGAACTGATTATTGGTTCATCAGATGATGTTCATTTTCCATTTTAGTACTTGAAAAAAGTTCTTAATAATTCTGAATAATTCTTTAAAATCATGATTATTCTTAAATATTCTGAGTACTTTGGTTTTCTTTTTGTTAAATAAAAGCTTCTGCATATGTGATGATTTGTTGCTACTAGTGAAATCTAAGTTTTCTATTAATAGTTGAGTTTCTATGGAATAACTCCCTTCTTCAAACATTATATCCATTTGTACATTGATTTATAGTGTAGAGTTGCATATCAGTGCTGAAAAGATGTTTGGTTTAATTGGAAAAAAATCTTCTTTATTTTAGGGAATGAACACTCTACTTTGTGAGCACACTTGCTATTGCAGCACACTTTTTTAATTGTCCACCTGACTCCCTTTCTCTTTGCAGGTCAAAGTTGCAATCCTTAAATATATAGAGACTCTTGCGCAACAGATGGATGCAGGAGATTTTGTAAATTCAAGTGAAACTAGGTTAGCAGTGTCTCGAATCATCACCTGGACCACAGAACCTAAAAGCTCAGATGTTAGGAAGGTATGTTTGTTAATGCATGCTTAGAACTGCAGTATACTCCAAGTATCTTGGAAAATTAGAGAAATTAATATTTCTTGGGGGAAAAAAATTTAAAGCAAACTAATTCTTTCATAGATAAAAGAGACCCCTACATCCTTCTCAGAAATCATGCCTCATTTTTCTGTATGAAGTCTCAGAATTGACAAGTTAAAACTTTGCCAAAAATTACATGTTTAACAATATTTAAGTAAAAAATTAAAATTAACACATTTTGAAACTCTCCATTAGGGTTGTATTTATATGTATGTTAATATATTGAGATTATCTTTTGTAATTCAAGGAATAACTTTGTTTCAAGCTATCTGGTATTAAAATCTCTTCAGGGGGCATTTTCTATACAGTTTTAATATTCCTTCAGAGACCGTTCTCTGTGATAGTAATAGCACATTCCTAACAGGTAAGTTTGGTAACAAACTCATTTCAATTTCTGTTGGATTTTCTTGAATGCTTTGTGTTTAACAAAAGATAGGGAAATAAATGTTTATGCTTTGACAGAAGAAAGTTTGTCATTTAGCAAGGTAGAATCAAAGGTTTGTTCTTGAAATATTGCAGTTCCAGTGTAAAACTCCTTTTTTCCATATAAGTATTGTGAAGTGAAAATTCATATTTGTGACCTACATAGATATACCAGGAATGTTTGTCTTTCACTTCTTACATAAATTCATGAGTATGAGAGCAATAATAGATTATATTCTGTGGACTTTTCTTGCCTAGTACCATATTCTAGTGACACGTATAAGACCATAAAATAGGAGGAGAATTGAAGCAGCACTATCTTCTAAATCAGGAAAGTTTTAGTACTAAGGCACGTGGCAAGCTGTCTTATCTGATGGTTCATATCTCTAATAAGCATTTTTATGTCAATAAGTAACTGAAGCATGGAAAGAATTACTGGTGAGTTTAATCATCTGGAACACCTTAATTATATGCAGTTTTCTCATTTTATTTTTTCTTTCCATAACATAGCTGTTAGAGGCAACTAACTTCCAAAAGCCTTTAATGACTCTTGAAAATAAAATTTCACCAATAAATAGTCAAAAGAATTATTCTGATTGTATAAAACGTTAATATTCACAACCTGCTATCACAGGCTTTTTCACTTAATTTTATTTCATTTTCATTTTATTTTAATAAGCTTATAGCATTTAGTATGATTTCTTTAAATTAGAAGTTTTTGTCAAGTGTATTTCTGTGTAATTGATGGGTCTGGGTTATTTTTTTAGTAAAAACATTTCTATTACTATGTATTATGAAAAATACTTTTTTATTTTATTAATCTGGAGTTGGGCACTGTTAGTGCAGTTCAGTGGCATGGGTTTTCTTTCTGGAAGGTAAAATTCTATATGTCAGAACTTAGATTTCATCTGGAAAGAATTAGAATTCTTCTAAGAAGAATTAGAGTTCTTCTAAGAAGAAAATAAAAAATATTTCTAACCCTTATTGCAGGCTTTTAAAGATGTTATCTGTGTGACTGGGCTTAAATTTCAGGAGAGAGAGCTTATGCTAAGGAGAAGAAAAACCTCCAAATACTCTAAAATGCTTCTCTTTTTGTCAAGGAAGAGAGAGAGAAAAAAAATAGATAATTGCAGAGTTGAAAACCTTCTGTGAGTCAATATCAGTTTTGATACTTTAGGTTGAGCTTCATTTTGGGTGAACTTGATGGTAACAGTTTCTTTCGTGATACAACCCTGGCCTGCCTATTGTGTTATTTTTTTGGCAGCTTAAAGAGACCCAGTATTATGGAGTGGAGACATGGATAACAGGGCAGAAAAGGAAAGTGGTCATTCCCAAGCCTTTGCTCAGTGGCAGGATTTGTTTTGGTTATGCTTTGTATCAATTTCTATTAAAAGACTGACCATAAGAAATAAGAAGGAAAAGGGTAACTAAAGACAGATTGTAGAGGACATTCAGGGTGCTTAGTTGAAGGGAAGGCTATCAGAGGGAGATGAGAATAGAAGTTAAAGAAAACAGCCAGTCACGAGCGTGCAAAGATAATTTGTGGCCATCTAACATGGCAGTATTTTTGTCATTAAACTTAATACTGAGATGTGTGCTGGTATGTGTGCTTATACCTTGACTTTCCACTTTTAATTAAAAAATGCTACAGTTCATTGCTCTGGAAGCAACAGGAGGGAAATAAAAGTCTAAAAGAATTTTCTAAACTATTTGCTTGAAGTGTATTGCTGCTTAAGCAAGCTGCCTATCATTCTGCCTAGCATGAGGCACTGGTTCTCTCCAGTGCGTGGCAGACCTCAATGGTGAGCTGAATAAACTAGACATACATAGTTGGTTAATCTTAGAATCAGAGTTTTGTACTACCAAGAAACTATTAAAGAACTCTGGAGAACTTAATCTCTAGCCCCCCTTCATTGCATGTGTTAGTTTAGTTGCGATGTTGACAGGTTTGTTGGACTATGGTGAATATTCATCAAACTCTACAGACATTACTGAGTCATGCAGTCAACATTCCTTTACTAGGGGGAACCCAACCATTGTTGCTCTGTCAGTAAAGAGCTCTGATTTTTGATTTAAATAAAAAAAAATGTATCTAGTAAAACATGCTGTAGGATGAGGATGACATTAAAGATGAACTATTAAAATTGAAGGTGTGGGAGGTGGCATCCAGTAGACTACAAGCACCCAGTACTTGACAGTTTTCATCTTTACAATATGTAGTCAGCTAAATTATTCCTCATGATGTTTGCCTGTCGTTTAAAAAGATTAAGGAAGCAGGACAGGAAGCGAGGAGAGGTTAACTAACTAGTTTGGCTGTGGGATAAGTTATAAAGAATATGAAGTGCTGTGATGACAACTCAAAATCAAGACTGTCTCATTCCAAATTAGGATATCTGGTTTATCTGGTTTGTTTTTTTTTTTAATTTCTAGGGTGATAACTGTTCCTTTTCAAGCTAGTGTGTTGATTATCCATCATCTGTATTTACCATTTGCAGAACTCAGGAGAAGGAATTGCAGGCTTGTTCCTGCCTGGTGTGTTCCGTTCCTCTCTCTAAATTCCTTCAACTTGTCAAACCTTTTAAAAGCCATTTTGAGAATTCCTTCAGTACTCTTTTTAGTAAGTAGGGATCTGGGATTGGGGCAGTTGAAGAGCACGTTTCTGAAAGACTTCTTGTTAAAATGATGTTGCAAAGTGTAAGCTTGTTGTTGTGTGCCTGGATTTATCAATATCTGAACTTCCAGCTTACCAGCACATACAAATTGCTTTCATTCACATCTGTTAACATCTTTATTGAAGCTTGATGAAGACTTGAGTCATGTTTTGTGATTACCATTCATTCTAGCATCTCTTGCTGATAAAATTACTTTAGAAACTCAAATTAATGTCTTCAATCTGTATTTTCTTCTTCTAGGCTGCACAGTCAGTGCTGATTTCCCTTTTTGAACTCAACACTCCAGAGTTTACAATGCTATTGGGTGCTTTACCAAAAACATTTCAGGATGGAGCCACAAAGCTTCTCCATAATCATCTCCGGAATACAGGCAACAGTGGTCAGGTATCTACTACATCTTTTTCCTCCATAGAATGATACTTACTAAGTATATGTTGCTTCCAAGTCATTCAGTAAGTTTGAATGTGCTTTTTAGGAGTCTTTATCTTTTACTTTACTCATTTCAAAGTTATACCTGCTTGAAGTTACTAGTAATGTTAGCCAAGCCAAGAAATTAAATAGAAGCTCTTTAAATATTTCTGGGCAATTGAAAAAAAACCACAATAATAAGTTAAAAGGGAAGCTGAAGTCCTACTGGAGTATCTCTCCTCTCCTCCTCCAGGGATCAATGGGAAGTCCTCTAACAAGACCTACTCCACGCTCCCCAGCAAGCTGGTCAAGTCCTCTCACATCCCCAACCAATACATCACAGAACACTTTGTCACCAAGGTAACTACCATTGCTACAGTTCTGCGACTAAGGCTTCATTACATGTTATCCAGAATTGGAACCCCAACAGTGAAAGCATGGAGAAAATTTTGCACAACGTGACAGATTGGTCTTTAATTTTGTGGTCTCCATGTTGCCAGTGAAGTGGACTTAGCAATTTTGTTTTTATCAATCAAGTGACTGTGAAGACTGTTGAGATATATATCAGTCCTCCTTACTTTGCAGCTTTTCTCAGAAAGAGAGAATTGTGTAAAAATCACAGTTGTTTCATATTCATAAGAGTAGAACAGAGCAAAAGAAGTTTATTTCTTCAGGCGGATGCTGCTTACATAATGTAGGCCTTCCCCTAGCAACCTACTTTCAGTGTTTTCTGTGTTAGTGGCCATACATTTACTAAGATGTACCATAATACAATTTGGTTATGTGGAGAGACAGCTTTCTTCCTTAATGTTTCAGGAAGAATAATGATTTTATTAATATTTCTTGAGTCTCTGGAGTTTCATACTAATGTTATTTAAAAATACAGGGTCATAAAATAAATCCATCTTAATTCCTATGTTCTTCTTGGTGGCCCACAGTGCATTTGACTATGACACTGAAAATATGAACTCTGAAGATATTTACAGCTCTCTTCGTGGAGTCACCGAAGCCATTCAGAATTTCAGTTTTCGTAGTCAGGAAGATATGAATGAGCCTGTTAAGCGAGATTCCAAAAAAGATGATGGTGATTCGGTGAGTATTTAAACTCAGTGCATCTTGCTATCAGCAAACCAAGCCAATGACTGATTTATTACAGATGAAAAAGATCTTTTGCAGTAGGTTTATATGTTACAACTTCTGAAACAGGACATTTCTCCTAAATTACGTCAGAGCTTAAGAAAAATATGTTCCTAGTCTTGAACTACATTTTGGAAATGTAAATGCTAATTTTAAGTAGCACTAGCTGTTTGTTTATTTAACATATTAGCAAATTAAAAATAAATTATCTTGCAAAACATCTGGAGTTCAGTCTTTGAGAGGTCTGCACCTCAATATATGTTTTTCCAAAGATTTTATTTTATTCCATACAAAACTTGTGGGTTTTTCAGTACTACATGCAGTGTTTTGAACTTGTGTTTCTATGGAACTTTGGCTTTCCGATTTGTTGAGCTTGACAAATATGTGTATGCTAAACATGTTTATAATTACTTAACAATGAACTTCAGAGATAAAATACTGACAGCTGTTTCTAGTTCATGAATTTTTTTGCACTACGTACACTTCACGCCCCCCCTTTTTTTTTTTTAAGGAAAGCAGAGTTTAGGGAACTGTTTCTAAGAATTCCTATTTTAAGGCTAGTTGAAAATTTTTTTAATTTGTGAACTTCTTGAAATTTGTAAGTTTTTTGCTACATAGATGGATTAGTAATGTAGTTAATTGGAAAGTGTAAGTGCACATTTCATATGCTGATGGGATATTTCTTTTGCTGCAGATTTGCAGTGCTGCTGGAATAGTAGATCTACGAGCAGGAAGCGGTGTGGGCGATACAGGGCGAACAGCTCTTGATAACAAAACATCATTACTCAACACAATGCCTCCCCACTCTTCACCACGTTCCCGAGACTATAACCCATACAATTATTCTGATGGTATCAGTTCATTTAATAAATCTGCTTTGAAAGAAGCCATGTTTGATGATGATGCAGAGCAATTTCCTGATGGTAAGCTTCAGATTCCATTTTGTGCTAGAAGAAAAAAATGGTGAGATTTTTCCATCTTGTAGTTCAATTTCTGAATTTATTATTAGCAATATATGTATCACGAGGGCTGCTGCTTTGAGAGGTTTTTAAAAATACTGTATTTCAGATTAGTTTCTTTGTTAGTAATCCTTTTGAGTGACATTGTTGGATGACTTGGTATTTGTAGAGATTAAGGGTAAAAATGAGAGAAATTCTGAACTATATTGTAGAAGTATTGTCAATATAATTTTACTTAACAAGTTGCCTTATGATTTAAATTTAAAGGGGAGAAGTTAAAAAGACTTGCAGCAAGGAAGTAAAACTGCATCAAACCAGTTTGGGAATTAGGTGAAAGATGAAGTATTGTGTTAGTAATACATTTGTATTTGAAACATGACATTGGCTTTTTCTATTGACTAAACATTCTTAAAAAAACAAAACAAACAAACAAAAAAGCCTAGCTTTTACCAGCAAGGTGGTTCATTTAGCCCATGTAAATCTAGAAACTTGCCCAGCTGTTTTGTACGTTTCTAGATCTTCTCTCCATTTGCAGTCCAGTATTTACAAATACGGGTTGTGTTACTAATGTGTTTTTCCATTATCATGGAATCTTCCTTAATCAAAACTAAAATCCAGAGCCATCTCACAATGACTACTATCGGGAATCTTTGTGGGACTGACGGCCTTCGGTTGCTTCTATTTCAGCTATTTTGTACCAAGCACCAATTTTGTGCATTTTTTTTTTCCCTTTTTATGGTAACAGCCTAGCTATTGCTGTGGAACCATGGCTTACCAAAGTTGAAGCAATTCTGTAATACTAACAGAGAAAAGACAAATTTATCATTTTGGATGGAAGGCATCATATGGGATGTGAAAGGTAGCACCTTGTATATAGATCAGATTTAAAAGGATGCAGAGTACTTATCACTTTGGGTATGGGAAGCATAAAAACTCCTGCAGTAAACTAGCTTACGGGGTTTTTTTGCAATATCATTGTAGGGTTCTTCTCATGATTCTAAGCTTGTTCAGCAGTGTTGGCTGCACTGAAAAGGTAGTAGCCAAATTGCAATTTTTGCAGACAAATTTGAGGAAAGAAATAGAAGCATGCTATGAAGCCAGCTAGCCATCCTGTAAAATATCCTTCAGTTGTGCAGAAGGTACTAATTTATTTGCAGTGGTCTAGGAACTGTGTTTCCTTTTTGACAGAGCCTCCCATGGACCATTCTGATCTGGTAGCAGAGTTACTGAAAGAATTATCAAACCATAATGAGAGAGTTGAGGAAAGAAAGGCTGCCCTGTACGAGCTCATGAAGTTAACTCAAGAAGAGTCTTTCGGTGTTTGGGATGAGCACTTCAAAACAATATTACTTCTGCTGCTTGAAACACTTGGAGATAAAGAGGTAAATTCAGATTAATCCAGTTAAGAATGTTAACAAAGCACGTGGTTTACTTTCAGGATCTTTGAAATTTGTATGGGTTGTAGGAAAGGCACAAATTCCAATTAGTCTTCAAAAACAAAAAACTGGAAATACAAAAATGTCATGAAGTTGGAATGCCCTGATGGTGAAAAGGACATCAGTAATGCTTACCTTCTCAAGTATTTTTATTTGCTGATTCTCACACGAGATTAAATGAAGCATTTTTCATTGGGATTTGAAACTTATCTGTTAATAGACCCTGGTGGAATCTAGAATATCGAAACATCTCAAAATATTTAAAAATATATTTCTAAAATACAGTAATGCTCATTCTGAAGAGACAGAGTTTTGTGTAATTGTTCTCTACAAGGACTTCGGTTTTGAAATTGCTGAGGATCAAAAAGACACTAATACTTGCTTTTGCTTTAAAAAAAAATTTCTAAAAAAAATTAAAAATTTATTTGCACAATGCAATGCTAAAGGTTTTATCAACACTTGTGAAGAGTAGAACTGTTTGCAGTTTAACTTCTGGGTAGTATAGATAACTCAATCAGGTTAGCAACACGTTTGTGATATGCCACCTGAATTATCTGCAAAAACAGAGATCAAGACAAAGAATTTTTTCTAGCTCTATTTATTATCACTGGGTTCATACTGTATATATGTATAGAGCATAATCTGATATTTTTCCATTATCAAAAACTCTTCAGCTGCTGAACAAATGTTAAAATGTATGTGTGTTTAAAGATACATAACTAATTCATTTCAATATTAAATCTTTAGCATGCAATTAGAGCTTTGGCATTGAAAGTTCTAAGAGAAATTCTAAGAAACCAGCCAGCAAGGTTTAAGAATTACGCAGAGCTCACAATCATGAAGACATTAGAAGCACATAAGGATCCTCATAAGGAGGTTAGTAATCAGTTACTCTCTTTGTCCTGGAACTCTGGAACAAGCTTTTGAGTTTCATGAAGGTTCGTGGTTGAGAGATGGGACTGAACATGGAAAGTGCTGAGAGTTCCTTACCATTTTTGTCAAGCTCTGCACCATTCAAGAGCATGTTGTTGAATGTTGTTAGGGGAGAATGCCCAGGAAAGTATGTCCAACACTTGGAATCTTGTAAACAGGTTTTCAGAGGGCTCTTCATCCAGATATTTCTACAATATTGTAGAGTTCTTGGTAGGAAATTTTTATGCTCGAGACCATTACTGCCAGATAACAGATCATAGTAACAGTCTCTTGTAAATAGTTTTTCTGTGTCTTTTACTTATTCTTTCAACAGGTGGTGAGATCTGCTGAAGAAGCTGCTTCCATGCTGGCAACTTCCATTAGCCCAGATCAGTGCATCAAAGTTCTTTGTCCAATTATCCAAACTGCAGATTACCCCATTAATCTGGCTGCAATCAAAATGCAGACGAAAGTAACAGAAAGAGTATCTAAAGAAACCCTTACTCAGCTTTTACCAGAGATTGTGCCAGGTCTAATACAGGTAAGGAGAGAAGAAAGGGAAAAAAAAACCAACCTGTGGTTAGGGTTCAAAGGAAATCTTGGTAGGATACAAAGTACTGGTTATAGTTAAGCTTGGTAGATACTTTGTTGTGAGACATTTTTTGTTGTTTGTATCTTTTCCCGATTTCTAATAATTTTGTCTGAAATTGTCCATGTTGTATTTGTTTATAATTGTAGGGTTTTATCACTTGGGGTTTGGGGGAGGCAAGAGGAAAGCAGCAGTTGATTGGGGAAGGTTTAATAAAATGACAAGGGTATCAGAGGTTTCTCTTCCTTTGTCTTTAACAATAAATTCTTCCCCACCTAATCAAAAGCCAGCATACATTAATTTGCACATGATGGATAAAGACTTTTCAGAGTTGGACAGGTGCATTCTGCAGATTTCTCTGTAATGGGTGTGATCCAATTGTGCATCTGCAGGAAGGCAGAGGCAGAGAAGGGGCCCTCTGAGGGGAGGGAGTGTGAGACAGACAGGCATGGGGTACTAGCAAAGTAGCAGAAGAAACAAAAACCATTAAAGAATGAGATGAGTGTTAATGAAAGAATCTTTATCTGTTAAGACAATACTCCTTTCAGAGTAAGGAAGCTCTGAATTGAGGGGTCTTCTGCTTTAAGTAAATATCTGTATAATCTAGAACAATTTCTCTCATGTACTCCCCTGTTGCATGGCAGCAGCTCTGTTTTCAGTGTAACTTATGAACAGGATTGTGTGGGTTTTCATTTTAGTGTGGAGAATTATTATCAATGTGATTAATAAGCAGCCTGCTTTTTAAGTGCATGTATTTGCATGTTTGGGTTTTTTTGGAATGCTTCACTGGGCTACACTGGCATTCATTTACTGTAGACTTTAATGTATTTATTATAGTAAATAAGTAAATAGCTTTCTGAGGCTTTAATCATTAACCGATAAGGTATTAATGTTCATTTTATTACTTTCTAGGGTTATGATAATTCAGAGAGCAGTGTTCGTAAGGCATGTGTTTTCTGCCTCGTAGCCATTCATGCAGTAATTGGTGACGAACTAAAACCGCATCTCAGTCAACTCACTGGCAGTAAAGTAAGTATAAGATACCATGTAAAGAAATCTTTGTTCATAATTGCATGTATGCATTTGCATTTTGGTTGCAATTGCCAGGAAGTTTCATAAGAGTATATATATACTTGAATGAGAATATCGGGGCTGCTGAAACCTTCAGAGGATTAATAGAACTTCATCATAAAATGTGCAAAACTGAAAATCCATTGATCTTTATTTATGCAAGTACGAACTCTATCATTAAGATAAATACTAAATTATGTTCCTTACTGCTATTTAATGGCTTTAGTTACTGGTTGTATCCCCAGTAGTAGTGATAATGGCTATGCTCAGCGTGGCTTTTCTGATCAGGATTTCTTGTCTTGTTTTTCATGCAAGTTCTGATTGGAAAGCAATAAATGTAGTATGTAGGTGTTACATACAGCAATTCTGTTTATTCTCCCTCCTAGTTATTTTGCTATTTCCTAGTCATTTAAGTACCTCTAATTTGAAATAATAATAATAGTAATCAGTCTGTGGTCCTTTTTGGTTCAGGATATTTATGGTTTTATTAACATCTCTTACATAGAGTTTTTGGCATGAAAACAGCTGTGTGCTAACTGTGAATCTCTTTGTCCTTGGGGCTAAAACAAGACAACTAATTTTGTATATCTTTGAATAAGACTGTTATCTCTTAAAAATGCTCCCTGGCAATGATTGTGTTGAATGTGATTCTAAACAGTATTGGAAGCTTTAGTAAGTACCAGCATCAACAACTCTTAACTAGAGGGTTCAAACCTCAATATTAACTTAAAAGAAAAAAAAAGCCTACCTTATTTAGAACAGCATTGTAATGTGAGGAAAATATTCCATCTGTCTTAATCTAGCTACATTAGATCATTCTCTTCTTTACATCCTGAAAGAAGCTTGAGCAGTTCCCTTGTGACAAATTTTGCTGTTTGATGTTTTCATTGGCAAGTATGCTACCTTTGAATTAACTGAGTAAAATACAATTTTGCTTTTGGTGAAAAGAAAATTATTTCATGTCTCCTTTGCTGTACCATTCCTGTAGTCTGTACAGTTTGGAAATACTAAACAAAGTGAATTTCTGGCTTAAATTTGCAGATGAAATTATTGAACCTTTACATCAAGCGTGCACAAACAGGCTCTGGACCAGGGGATACGACAACAGATATGTCTGGACAAAGCTAATGAAGCTGACAAGAGTTAACCAGGTCTCCTAAAGCAAGGGCAAGACCTTCTTCAGTGAAAGGAAAATTCTTACATATAACTTCTGGAACTTTTTTTCTTGTTTTTTTCACTTTTTTTTTTTCTTTAACCAACGGCTGTCCTCAGCCTGCATGTGACTGTTGCAATAGAATTATTCCAAATCCAAGGAAAAACAGTATTAACATCAGTTGATCAAAGCAGAATAAAATTTAAAAATAATCTAATCCATCAGTTATCCTGTTTGCAATCCTCTGTGTCTTCCCATTAACTTTTGCCAGTGTTATTGTATTTTAAAAAAAGATTTTTTTAATGCTAGTTCAAAAGGTATGCTTTAAGCTTCAGAAGTTAAAATATAAATTCTGTTGCTTTTATTCAGCTGCAGATAACATTACTTTTTTATTGCTATTTTGTTTGAGTATCATGTCCTTCACTAGAAACAAAAAGTGATGTGAAACAAGGCTGAACTAGTCTGAACTGGAGTGAGACTCGTTCACTGTGTTGGTGGTTCATCATCTTATTTACAGCTTGTTTGGGATATTCTGGAGATTGAGAAAATATGCCTATAAAAAAAAAAGCTGGATCAATCCAGTTCTGTAAAAGTGATGTTGTTCATTGGTTGTATGTTTGTTGCATAAATAAGAAGTTAGTGTGCGCAGCAGGGGACTGGTACAACCAGTACCTCTTCATGTGGAAGACAGCCCTTTTGGGGTAGCATTGCCGACCTGGTGATAGTGCTTTTTAGCAGCAGAGTTAATGGTCACTTGATGGACGTGAACCATCCTTGTCACCTTTCGTTCTTCAAGCAGGATGCTTCAGAATGGAGTGCTCTGCCCAAGCATGCTCAGTATGTATTTATCTTTATCACTAGAATGTTTCCTCTCAACCTAATTGCTGGAACAAGTAGTCTTGTATTGTAACTCACATGGGATTTTATGTCAACAGTGCAGAAAACTATTTATTTGTTACCTTCCTAAAAGCACCAGGATTTTCTGCATTGAATTTAAATGGGGGGGAGGGAGGGAATAGTCACAAATGCTATGGATCTTGCCACCTTTTAATTTAAAAAAAAATATATATATTTTGGATGAGTTGGGAAAGCTGCACCAAATTATTTGCATGGTTTTCTTGAATAGCATCCTCAAGACCCATCTGGATTAAGGTGTGGAAATGTTTCCAGGGTTTGTTTTTCCATTTTTGAAAGAGAGTTAGTTTATTGTGAATAATGGTTCTTTGTATTTATGAACTTGATAATGGAAAGAGAACAAAGATCAAGTAAATGTGTCCCTAAGTGTTGTCTTTTTCTTTTTATCTTTTTTTTTTTCTTTTTTTTTTTTTGTCTTGGATATAAGCAGCAAGCTAATTAACTGAGAACTAGGATGAAACAGTGCCCTTCCCAGGAATGGTGGAACTTTTTTTTTTCCCCTGCCTTTTTTTCCCTTTGACTGTGATGTTGTCTAGTTGTAGAAAGTGTATCCTGGTAAGAGAGAAAATAGCGGTGCCAAGGATGATGATCTATGCTAGGCTAAAGTTCTCTCTACCTCTTCAGGGTGACTGATTTTTGACTGAGCTGCTGCATATAGCTAGCACCCAGTAGAACAACTAGCTACAGAAAACCTTCTTTTTTTTTTTTTTTTTTTTTTTTTTTTTTTTTTTTTTTCAAATTTTCCCCTATTTTGTTTTTAAAATTCTATTT